TATGGTTGCTCACCTTTTGTATGGCAAAAGTTGGTGGCTGCAAAAGAGAGAAAAAAGAAGGAATGAAAGAAGTAAAGGAGAGATGATAATTGAAAGACTCATTGCTTTAGTCCGAATAATTATGAGTCGGTGAAGGGAGAAGTGTAAAGGGCCTCTGCTTTTCCCCTGTTTTTATACTCTGTATGTTGATTGATTGGTTTTAGGAAGCAAAAATCCTTTGAATTCGGACATAACGCACAAGAAGGGAATTCATGCATTTTGTGAGCGAAATTGGAGTGATTTTGATTTAATAGCCATAATTTAAATATTCTTTCATCCCATTTACGTTTTCCTTCAAGGATTGTTACAGTTGTGATATGGTTGGATTGGATTTTATTCTATGTTAATTTTTTTTATATATATATACATATATCTTATGTAGTTGTATTTTGACTTCCCCACAAATAAAATTGAAAGTGAGAAAAAAAAAGTAAAATTATTTATTTATTTTTTTCTTTAGTGTGATTAAACCATAATTTCTATGATTTATTTCCTTTCGAAGAGAGCTTGCGAAGGAAAAAACTTAAACTTGATTGACGTTAATCGTGGAATGAAAAAAAAAATGTATTTCAATTTGGTTTTTATTTTCCTATCAAAGAACTGTTTATTTTCAAATAATTTGCATTACTAATTATTGATGGATTGCAACCAATAATTGTTACGCTAGTTTAAAGGGGAAACTGAAAAGGATGCCCTTGGTTTCTTAGCATTTAATTAATGAATTTCAGGAGTTTTTCCAATTTTATTTATTTATTTATTTTTGGTTCTTAAATTTTTTTTATTTCAACGATCTCTTTGTTATATCCTGAAGGAAGCCCTTTATTACATTTTATTAAATAAATGGATAAGATGTAGAAATCACGCAACTATGGTAGTTTCGGTCTTGAATGTGGAATAGATGCCACAATAATCATCAAAAGTATGTGGTAAGTTATTCACGTAGGATATGCAAAATGCACTAAACAGCATATTTGTTGAATCAATCCCAATGGAATGGCCTAATGATCAAGAACGTGTGCTTAATTTCTTAAACTTTCGGCGTTGAATATTGAAAGCAACATTCCGATGAATTTACCTTTTGAATGTACCGATCCAATATAAAGAGGTAAGTTCATAATATCGTTTAGCAAAAGGATTTAATTTTGATAAATACTCGAGATGGAAAAAGGATCTCCTCGATCTTCTAATAATAAAAATAAATAAAATTGATGGATTTCTCCGATTAAAAAGAAAAAAAGTTAATAGTTTAATATGTTGTTATATAATAGGATAATTTTTAATTTATTTTTAGATCTATAATTGAGTCAATTTTATTCTTAAATATCTCGTTGAGTTTCTAATATATCTTTAAAACAAGATTTTCGAGTTAAATTATCGAAATTAATTATAATTTTTTATATAAAAACTTTTCATTTATCTAGTTTGTAAGGATATTATGAGAATGTTTGTTTAAGAATGGCATTATGATGAATTTATCTTTTTGAATTTACCGATCCAATATAAAAAGCTAGATTCTTAATATTGTTTAAGAAAAGATTTTAATTTTGATAAATGCTTGAGATGAAGAAATGATCTCTTTGGTCTTGTAATTAAAAAAAAAAAAAAACACTATGTATACCTTAAGTAAAAAGAAAAGAAAAAGGTTAATGGCTCGATCTATCTTTTTTTATATATATAATAAGAAAATTTTTTAATTTTTCTTTTTTATTTATAATTTAATTAATTTTATATTTAAATATTCATGAAGTTTTTAATTTATCTTTATAAAAAAAAATTTTAAGTGAAATTATCGAAATTAGTCACATGATTTTTACATAAAACCTTTTATCTATTTGGTTTGTAAAAACATTATGAAAATAAAAATTAATCATAAATAAATCACATGATTAATTTTAATTATTTGAATATTGAAATTAGCATTCCAAAGAATTTATCTTTTAACATATGGATCCAACATAGAAAGGTAAGCTCTTATCGTTTACAAAAAAAAATAATTTTGATAAATGCATAAATAAATGAACATTTCCTTGATTTTCTAATAAAAAAATATAATGGATACCTCTAATTAAAAAGAGAAAAAAAAAAAAAAGAACGAAGAATATCCCCTAGGATAAAGAGCTCAAAATTATAGTACATCCGAATGGGGAATATTGACCAACCCACTAGAACCAATCCTTAATACCTCAATAAATAAAAAATAAATCAACCCACTAAGCTAGCTTTTAAAAACTGAGTTACAAAGAGAAAATTTACAAGATCAAATTGCCTTAAATAAAAAAAATATTTTTTTTAAATTATGTCCACGAAACTGAAAATTTACAGTCACCCCTCACCATATATATTGAAAGAGTGAAAAAAATTAATTTTTAAATCATAAAGAATTTAATTCCATCTGGAATTTAACCTTCTAAAAAGGTAACATAATTACAAAATTACGAACAAATATATATGAAATGGTAACATAATTACAATAATTACCAACAAATCAAGATAGGAAAAAAAGGGTAAACTTTAAAATACCCCATTGAATTTAAATGAAAAATACTTCCGTGAACTAAAAAATTTCTGATTTTATCTCTTAAATAATATATATATATATCTTTTAAATGCATATTTTCTAGCAGGATTTCATTAAGAAGTTGACGAAAAAGATCTTTAAAAATCATTTCGTCTCTTTTTTCTATTAGCAAATATATTTTTATAACGCGGCAGAGACAAGGATAGAAGGAAAGATTTTTATGAGTTTTTCATTAATTTCTCAACAAAACTCTAATGGAAAGAGCACATTTCTGATGTTATCTCTTAAATAATATATATTTTTTAAAATGTATATTTTCTATCAGGATTTCACTAAGAAATTGATTAAAAAAAAAAAACCCTTAAAAATCCTCTTGTCTATTTTTCCATTACCAAATATATTTTTCTAACGCGGCAGAGAAAATGATAAAAGGAAAGATTTTTATGAGTTTTTTCATTAATTTCTCAACAAAACTCTAATAGAAAGAGAACATTCAAGAAAGTCATATTGTTTAGGAGACCAAATCAATGAGTTCAAGAGATATTTGTTTTATTCACTCTAAGTTCAGAGTGTATTTTACAATAGTCAGAAAGGAAAAAAAAAAAAAGGAAAATTGATGGGTTCTTGGAATCAATTCCTATTGGGCTTAGAGGGGCATTCTTGTTGTGGCCATAAATGGAAGTGTTTTTGGGTTCTGGATCATATTTGTTTCTATTGATCGAATACAAGGGCCTTCAAAGCCCAAAAACTAAATTAACCCCTTGGGCTGTGGCTCAAAAAGGAGCAAAATCTAAGGAAGAGATCCTAATAATATTCCCTCCATATTCTCGTTCTTGGAAGTGGCTACTCGTTCCCTCCACCTTCTCTATATTTACCAACCCGTACAAGAATTCTTTGTCATGATTGGAATGTCTTTGGCAATTTAAAGACCATAAGGTTTTGGTTTCAACAGCAATATAAAGTGGCCCTCAAAAGATGTTATAAGAGGTGAGTTTCATTTTGCTAGAGGATATAGAAACTACCCTTTTGCTTTTTTTTTTTTTTTTAAAAAAAAAACTTTTGTCATAGAGTTTTTGGTCCATGTTTGTTCAAGAAAAGAAAAAATGTTTTAAGGCTTGTTGTGCTAGCCTGAACAATGAACAACATAAGCTCCAATTTTTCTTTGTTGTATTGATTTTACATCTTTTTGGTCATTGTCTCAATATGAACAGATACATACATAGCAGGAATTTTGCTTTCTGTCTTGGGGACTTAAACTTGGGACTCTGACCATGAGAAGATCTTTTATCAATAACATAGATGTTCACTGTGTTGAAACTTGAAACTTCAATCCTGCAATCTGTGTTTTTTGTTCAACTTTGGTGTGTGTGTTAAAGAATAATAGAAAATCATTCGTGAAGCCTGAAGTAAGTTTTTAAGTTTATGGGTTGAGATGGTTTCTTGACGTGGTGATGAAGGATGGGAATGTGATTTTGAAATAGCTTTTCGAATTGGAAAAGAAGACTAAGCAAGTAGCACAATCTGTTTAGGGTTTTTAGGACCTAATGATCATTGCTTTACTCTCCAGCTTGTTCTCACAGCGATGCTGCTATCGCGTCAATGCATCTTCTCCTTCGAGCAATATTGATTTTTCGGTTCATTCTGCTGCGTTATTTACTTGCTCATCCTCTGGATTCTTTCCTTATCTCTTGTCGAGATAAAAGAATTACGCATCTTGTCGTTTTAATTAGCAACATAGGTTACTAATCGAATTTGCTGATACTTAAGTCCCAACTCCTAAGTTCAAGGCATTACTTACGGTTGCTCGATATGAGCCAAATACCAAGAAAACTGAAGTTGAATTAAGCTTACAAGGAACTGAGGCTTTATGTTGCTGATTTACCACCTGTTAGCCACTTCTTTCAATATGCTGTTTCTGCAGAATCATACTTTCAAACTTGTCAATGACTTCAAATGTTAAAAGAATGCCTGACGATGCTCTTAGGGGATTTACGGCTGATCTGGGTTCAAGTCTTAAACTTATGAGCATTTGCTTGATTATATTCTTTATAGAATAGATTTGACACAATATTCATGCCCTGAAAATGCAGAAGGCAGCTAGTTTTGATACTGGGAGGAAATCAGATAAGCTCATCGTTCACATGACTTTCATGTACACCTGTCCCATCTAATTTAGAAGAAAAAATAAAAAAAAGTTGTGTTGAAATTTGAATCATAATATCAAATCATTTACATTTCATTCAAATCATTGTGTTCCTGATCTGTAACAAGGATAGTATGGTCTATGTCACACAATCCAATGTATATGTACATGAAGGCATCGACAGATTCTTTCCAAACAAAGAATAAATCTTGATGGCAACAAATTGTGCACACTAAATTTTCTAAACACCCATTTTCATGGACATTGTAAAATACAACCGACTTAATCACACTATCATATTCAGAATCCTTTCCAGGCATTGAGAACATCATGGAAGACTTCAGCTATTAGATCTCTGTCTGCACATTGAATGAAGGCATTGAAATCGTCTTGGATATCAAATATCTTACCGAACTTCACTAGATACCGCAGGCAGCTGGTCTTCAGTTTCGGCAATTCATATAAGGATGCGCTTTGTAGCCTCTCGAGTACATTCTTCGTGTCTATATCTTCAAGAAGACTGTCATGGCATGCCTCCTTCAAGTCAGCAATATCATACTTATCAGCTGCACTGAGAAGTGCCAAACGGTGAGCCAGAAATTCTTCGTGCTGGATGTTCCCATATATGTAATTGAGAAAAGCCTGACAAGCTTCAATTGACATGTCGGAGATGTTTATGGTTGACAGTTCCTTCTCTTTCAGGTCATGAGCAAACATGCTGTGGAAAACAGGTGATCTTGCAGCGAGAACAGCACGATGGGCTCCAATGCTTCCATCGGAAGCATTAATTTTGATATCCGTGTGGATGCTTTCTGTTAACATTCTACCAAAGGAAACAAGAGCTGTTGCATTTGATCGCTTTTCTGTGGTTTCTTCATCCCAGATCGAGCAGGGTTCTCCACCCTGTACATTTAATGACATATAGCAGTTGTTAAAATAAAGGTACAGCTGCAATACTCTCTGTTTTCTGGATTTCATTTGCAGCATCCAAAATGCATAGAATGGGAATGATACAACCATTTGTTACAGTCTGATAATAAGTTTGAGAATTCAAACAACAGGTGCATTGCAATCTGTTATGTTTCCAAGGATATAATTTTTCTTTCTATTGACCGAAAATAAGGCAACCAATATAGTAGAAACATACCCCTGGACATGCAGCCTTCAAATCAATGAATTCGACGTCAATAATGAATTTCCCTGTTAAAGGAACATCAATTGCCCACACAAAATCATCGTTGTTCTTGAGCTGCTTATCTGTTACCTCTGCAAGCATACATTTAAAATAAAACTGAAAAGAGGAACATTTTGTCTGAAAAATACCAAAACATACAAGGAACTATGAAGTATAAACTGATGTAGTGATAGAAATCCTCAGTGGCAAAACATACATATATGGCTCACAGTGCACTAATTACCAGATCATTTGCAATTGCAAGTTATAATTCATTACAGTAATCATATTTGTCATTGGCTTTTCCATTTCATCAATCCATAAACATTGTATTGGCAGGTAGATCACAACTTAGAACATTCGATAGAGGGTAAAGATCATCTACGGCATTTGCTTCCCATTTCATAAACTTTGTTTTGGTTGTAGATCACAACTTAGAATTACAGTCAAGTGTCAGAAATCAGAAGAATCAAATCCAAGATGGTAAAGTGCACATGCTGCATCTTCCTAGGAGAAAAAACTGGTAGTGTTAACCAAGAAAAGGATCTAAAAAACAAGTTTCAATTTATTACCAGGATGAGTCAAAGCCTTGCGATCTCCAACAGAAGAAACGATTCGAATAATAAATGAAGCGATTGGAGGATTTTCCCGAGTTTGAGTCGATATCTCTGGATACAGCTTAACAAATAGTACCCGGTTCTTCTCCACAGATAGATGCCTTCAATCCAAACAAAAAATGGTTAAACTCAGCTCATATGGTAAAATTGCAGAAAATGGCCAAAATAGAGAATCACATAACAGTAACAAATCTGGGTTAGTTTACCCTCTCCTCAGCAACAAAATCTGTAAGAAAGCAAACAAAGGATCAATGTATAGAAAAATGTGCCTACTCTGCCTCTGCAATGGAACATACCCTGACATCCTATCCAAAGCTACAGTGTCCCCATTTCACATGGATTGAAAAAACCCAAAATCCCACTTCAAAATCACCCATTGCCAGGACACCCAGATCATAAATTCCCATTTACAGCAAGAAATAACAGTAAAAAAACCACCAAAAAGATCCTAAATTTCCAATGAAAGAAACCAACCTGACCAAAATCAAGAAATTAACAATCACACAAGACTCTAGGGCAAATTCTACTTCCTTAAATCAGAACAACAAACCAAACAATCTCCTATCCACAATCAATCCATGGATGCATAAAAAGAAAACAAGAAACTAAAAAGCACATAAATACTAACCAATTCCACTTGCCAATCTTGAAAGGATCGGATTTGCGATAAGTACAAGAAGCAGGATTGTCTATCCTCCATTGAGCGAGACGAGAAGTAGTTTCAACTCTATAAGCAGAAGAATCTGTCATCCTAGCAAAAGCAAGAGCCGCTGTAATTTCATGGATACAATCAAATATCCTTCCATCAAGAAAATATTCCCCTGCCTTTCCCAGGTTTACTACTTCTACAATGACCTTCTTCTTCTTTACTACAACTACAACAACAACTCTCTCGATCACTCCTCATAAACGTAACCACAAAAAGCAAAAGAAAAAAGGACACAGACAATGATAACAGTCACAGTCAGAAATCTATCTTTCTTGTTCAAATTCTTGACACTACACTCTACTTTGAACTTGCTCTTTATGAGTTGATCATTTTATTTATTAACGAAAGTTACAATTTTGAGTGGTGTTCTTGGTTCTTGGCTCTTGGTTTAGCTGCTTTTCAATGATTTCGGACACGCAAGGGTATTGATTGGTGTTGCTTTACGCCATTGATGGTGAAGGTTTTTCTGCCCCTTTTTTTTTCCCCTCTCTCTCTGTTGGCTTACACTGCACTTCAGGGTAAGAAGGAAGGAAGGAAGGAAGGAAGAGAGTTGAGAGAGATAAGAGAGGGAGTTGAGTTATCTGATGTGGAGGTTTTTAGTTTGTGTTTTCTTTCATCAAGATTTAAGATGGAAGACAGACAACTGCCTTCCTTCTGACAATAATTATTTATGTCTTCGTGTCTACGTGTGAGTATGAAGGTTTGTTTGTATGGTTGAGAAGGAAAAGAATTTGTTTGACATTTTTGAAGCTTCAAAGTCAAGTAAATCATTTATTCTTCTTATTATGTGTGCGTTTGTCATTGATACAAGTGTTTATAGATTCATTTGTAATTTCATTTCAATCACTCGATGCTTTTATTTTATGTTCATAAAAAAATTTGATTGATAGAGGGGATATTTTGAGATTTTTTGGTTTAATGACCTATTTATCTTTAACATAAAGCATGAATATTCTGTCCAATTTTTTACTTAACAATCAAATTTTAACCATTAATTTTAACATTTCAACCATACCAAATGACGTAATTTCTTCATAAAATATACTAAATTGATAATTCATATTTTATTTTGTCACAATTTTAATAATTTAGAGATAAAATATGTCATCAAACGGAACAAATTTATTTCATTTGAGATTTGGATAAATCATTAACCTTGTAATTAGATTAATTCATTGATGAATAGATTTTTTTTTTTTTTCCTAGCAACTCCTCAACTAGATCAATATATGAGGAGGATTGCATAAAGGAATCATGTAAAGTAGAATCATTTGTTTTGACTTTGATCACATAATTTGATTTCACTTTCTTGGATAACATTGAAAAGAAAAGTAAATTAGGGAAATTTTAGTTAATTTATATAAGTGATGTTTGTATTTGTGGAGAGTTTGAAGAGTATAGATAATGTGTAAAGAGTTGTGAAATACAATCAGCAGTAGCAACGAAGGGAACAAAGAATATTAATCCAAAGCAAGGAAAAGGCAAAGGTTTCATCAACGTCAAGGTTTTGCTGATGCATAAGCATCCAATTCCATGATCTCATCACGTCTATGCTTCCATCATTCTCTCCCTTCAATACACAATTGGAGAAAATCAAAGTGAGTATAACTCTTAACGCTTCCCAAGAAATGCATTTCCAATAGTAAATTGCAAAAATCTAGGACGAAAACATTTTCTTATATAAAATGGGAGAATTCATGGGAAATTGGATAAAGGGGAGGAATCATGGGTTCGTATGTTTCTTTCAAAAGCTCAAAATATTGCAAACTTTCACAACAATGTTTGCCTTTTGATTGGAGGCATTGTGAGGTGGACAAGAAAGGCATATGTTTGTGGGACACAACAAACATGAATCCTTTAGATATCCCAATATTGCAAGTAATCTATGGATTGACATTTCAAATGATCACAGCCCTACACTTAGGCAGCCATTGGAGGAGGTGTATTTGTTTATGGTGATTTGTGGGGTTGGATTAAAATTAATGGAGTGTGAATGTGTATCCCTCTGCATGACAGTGGCAGTAGGATACTAATGAGGAAACATAGATGTCTTCATAAGAAGACATGAGTGCCTTGTTTAGGTCATTAGGTGTGGATCTGAATCATCATTTTCTTCATTTGTTTATTGGTTATGGCTATGGGAGCTACCAGAGTTGGTGGGTGTTGAATTTGGATTATGTTTGAATCACAGGTGGATGCATTAGATTCGTAAATTCTAGGCTTGATTGAAAATGTTTCCCTGAATTTGAGGGAAAAAACAAATATCCTTCTTAACTAAAATATCTCTCATTTTTCGAATGTGCTTCTTGTACTAGTATCGTTGAAAAATTGACGAAAAAACCTATCAAAATCCTTCCAATTTTTATATTTTTCTCCATCAATTTAGAAAAATATGTTTTCTAATTGAGAAAAAAGATGAATTAAGAAGATTTTTAGGATAAATAGCTTAATTTATCTTTATATAATAGTGAGTTTTTTAATAATTTATGTATTTTTAATTGCACATATTATTTTTTTTAATAATGTTTAAGTTTTTAATCTATGGTTTCGATCAATTTTTCTGATGATGAGCAAATTTTTTGACTAAAATGTTCATGTTTGAAAAAAAATAATTAAAGAGATAAAAAATAGAACAGTCAAGTCATGCGAGTTTAAGTTGTTTATTTTTTTCACATTTCAGTCAAAAAAATTTCGATCAAAAAATTTATTTATGATCCAAAAAATTGATTAGAAGAAAAGATTCGATACTTAAATATTATTCAGAAATATGATTAATGCAATTAAAAACGTAGACATAAATTGAAGACTCGTATTATTATATAAAAACAAATTAAGCTATATACCTGGATTTTAAAAGACTTTCCATCAATTTCTCAAAAAAAATCTTAATATAAAAAGTAAAAATAAAAAATTATATTATTTAAGGGGTAAAATCAAAGATTTTTTTAATTCAGTATGTATTTTTTTTTCTCTCCAGTCGGAAAAATATTTGACAATTTAACCTAATTTCTACTGCATGGTAAAATATATAATGTCCAAATTTGACAATCAATATTCATAAGGTTATGCGTCTGAAACCTCTTGTTTTTCAACACCACATGCATGCTTTAGGTGTGGACTAATTGAATCATCTTCGCATTTATTGGTGGTCGTAATAGTTAGTTAAAATAATTGACAAAATCTTTTGAAGTAGTCTTATTATGCCCATGAAAACACAATGGAATGGATGGAAGGAAGACAATGTCTACCTAAATTTGTAGCTCTACTCGTTTTCATTTTCTCTCATTTTTCTCTTTCTACTTGAAACCTTTTGTTTTTTTTTTTTTTTTTATGATTCCGTTAGGTATAACAAAACTAAATTTACCTCTTACTTTTGTTAATCTTATTTCTTATAATCTACATAAGATTATGAATTTCACTATCTAGACAGAAATACATTTTTGTTATTTATAGAATGAATTCTATAAACATTATATTGTAAAAACATTTTTGTTAATCCATCAACATAATATATATCTATATAGCATAGACTTGTGAATTCATATATTTCGATCGAAGAAAAATCAATAAGAAAAAAAATTAGAATTAATCATTGTATTTTTAGAAAGAAGAAACATAAATAGTGGATTGAATTAATGTAGTAAAACGTATAATACGAAAAGATATGAAAATTTATAAATTCATGTATTAAACTTAAAAACATTTTAAAACAAACCATTTATAAATGTATTTACGATAGGTTATGGTCTCGCATCACTAAAGACTAAAGAGTCAGTATATGGTTTTTTTGTTTTTTTTTTTCTGATATTCTTGAACAGGTGCCAAAAGACTGACCAAAGCCTTATTCGAGTCAATCTTGCTCTAGAAGGTTTACCTAACAACGAAATTCATGAAAAGAAAAAAAAGTCTTTTTAATTCGTACCTAACTAATGAATCAATGACTAGATTTGATTTTAGTGATAATAAAAAGAATAAAAACTTGAATGGTGGGGTATACATCTCTTAGAATTTTGTATATGCATGCACGTAACCCACGAAGAATTGAAAGGTTGTTGAATGGTGCATGTATAGATATTTTGCCTCTATTTTTATTCGTGGCTTAATTATGGAACATTGACGAAAAGAAAATTTTAAAAGGAAAAAAAAAAAATATATATATATATATATAAAGAACACTTGTTCACACTTGTTTAGGTTTTGTACTACTAATTAAAGCTTTCAATTTGAAGTTATTATAATTAGTTTTTTTTTTTTTTATTTTCTTTGTTAACATTAGTGTATTTTAGTGTTTTTCCCGTGTCGAGTTTGAATCTATCTTTTAATTTGTTAGATAACCATGATTGAAAAATTAACAAGATTTTTTTTCACTAGATCAATTCTCAAAATATATAATATTGAATAAGAAATGTATTTTTTTTTCACATTTTTTCATACCATATTTGAAGCAAGAACGATAAAATTTAACCTCTCTTAATAAATATAACTTTAAGATTTAAATTCTTCATATTAATAAAAAATAAGTCTGAATACTAATTTACCATTAGGGCAATAATTTAGTGATAGAAATGTATCCTTTTAACTGTTATATCAATTTTTTAAATTAGTTTTCATAATAAATATGGTAGATGAGTAATTGATTTAAAGGATAAGAAGTTGAAAAAATAGAGGTTCGATTTCTCTACACTCAAGAAGTCAGAAGATCGACATTAATTAGAATGGTGCTAAATTCTACTTCTTGAGTTATAAGAAAGGATTATTGAATAGTCTTGTCTACCATAGTATTTATCTTATGATTCTTTGCATCTACTCGCCTTCCTTCTAACCCATAATGGTCACTAGTGCTAATCATGGTATTTACTCATCTGTTTATTCTTAATTATTATCTGTGAATAGTAAACTGAAAATGACACTAGATTTTGAAAACATCGACGAGGACAATTGGTTTCTTGAGGCCAATAAATTTTTCATCAACTTGCATGTCAAAGTTGGAAGGGTGGTTGAAGTAGGACAGCCTTTAGGACACTTGGCTGCAAGAAATAGACTGATTAGCAAATCAATTTTACCTAAATGATACCTTAATCTTCATATGCTTACTTTTGATCTCAAAAACATTTGAAGTGGACTGGTTTTGTAATCCCATTCCACTTTGTTACTGACTTCTAAATATGTTCATCATGAAGTTTATTTTATGGCTTTTTTTTTTTTTTAATTTTTAACGTTAACGATATTTTCAGATATTTTTTTATATCGAAATTTTTTTTAATAAAATTTTAAATGATTTATTCATACCAATATTGATATATTAACAAAAAATTATTCATAATCTTTTTTAGGATTAAAATCTTGTTGATGAGTTTTTTGCGGGTTGGAATTGCATTATATTGCAGGCAAATTATAAACCATAAAATCCAACTATATTTCTAGTCAGCTCAATTAACTATTTGAGTCGTGAGATCATCATTGTGTTTGCCAACAAATAGATGCATTGATCTTAATTAAGCACGCAACGATCATAACTTATGAAGGTATCCTTATCTTAATTTATTAATAGTTTACTTTTGGTTTATTTATTTATTTATTAGTATTATGAAAACTTCTTAATTGATATTCAGTTTTATTTTTTCTTTCTGCATGCCGTGACACTTTACGACTACATTTATATGTATAGTAATGAGTTTTTCCCGTGCTAATGGTATCTACTTTTCATCCCAACGTGTCGAGCAAAAAAGAAGCTGAGCATGTGCTCATTGCAAAATAAAAAATTAATAGTCAAATCTATTTGTAAAGTACGAAATTAGCCACTTGATTTCCATATAAAAATCTTTTATTTGTTAAATTTATTGAGACATTTTAAAAATAAAAAATAATTATATACAAATTATATGATTATTTCTAGTAATTTGTTATGAAAATATTATCAAAAAATAGATTAAAAATTTAACATAAATTCAAGAATGAGTGAATTAAGAATATAAAAATAATTTGACCATTATCCTGGAAAGAAGACACAAATTAATGTTATTATTATTTTGCAAAACAAAGCCCAAACAGGGTTAATATGGGATTGTGGATAAAGTGGCTTAAATCTTTGTACTAGAGTAGGAAATAATTGGGCTCGGACCATTTAGCCCATTTCTTGAACCATTTCGGAAAGGCTTATTGTTCTTGGTAGCAACCCAAATTAAGAGATTTTTTTTTTTTTAATTAAGAGATTTTTTGCGTGGGCTATCTCGTAAACTACAAGGCTGATAAGCTAAATTAAAAAGTTCGCACACAAGGATATTGCATGGGCCTATAGATTTGGAGACCTCGAAGACTTTAGTTGGCACAGGACAGATCTCTGCCAAGTTGCTTCGACGCCATGTTGCAATTTTTAATCTGATATGTAATCATGTGATAATTTTTTTATCATTTATTATTATGAATTGAAATAATTATTGGATTTTAGTAAGAAGTCAAATTAAGAAAAAAAATGAAAAATATAGAGAAACGATGAATAAGAAATAAATAAATAAATAAAATGCCACGTTAAGAAAATGTCAATAATAAAGTGGCATTTTATGCGATTAAACCATTTCTTTAAGGACAAAAGTATTAAAAGCAGAGTCGTTGGTCATATGATTTTTATAAATTGATTTGAATTGTTTTATATTTTTAACTTTTAATTTGAAAACAATTCACCAGTATTTTACTTGGAGAATTTAACTTATTGATTATAATTTATGCTTTTACATTTTTTGAGGAAATCACAAGTGTGTGTATATATATATATATATAGAATAAAAAAACCCTAATAAGACTAAACATAATAGGCAAATAAAATGGAAAAAAAACCCTTCTACTGGATACGACTATGCCATTCCAGAAATATGAATTTGCAAGCTACGTACACAGGAGCATACAATTTAAGCAAAAGAGGATACAATTTTCACAAAATATCTTTGGTATAGGCCATTTTCAAAAAAGCTCACTTGTGGTTGCTATTAAGTCGTCTTTGTTCTTCACTCTCTGCCGGCCACTCAAATTTATAATAACAAATCAGGTCAAAATACACTTATTTTCGTGGATAATAAAAATTATTTTACTCTCATAATTAACTTTCTATATGTCTCCAACTTTTTTTTAATTGAATTGAGGTATAAAAAAATTGAGAACCGAACAACCAAACTAAAATATTTTCGTTATCTTAATTGGATTTTTCATAAATTTGGTTCCATTAGATTTTTGAAATAATTGAATCTATCCAATAAATCGAAAGCTGAACCAAACTACTATGTGTCTCCTCTATCTGTAACTTCCATGACTTGTGTTTCGAGTTATTGCTAATCCATCTAATCGACGTTAGTGAAGACTTTCATGGTCAATTTTGTTTTCGTTTGTTTCTTCTGTCCCCTTTTTCTTCTTCTTTTGTAACTTCCATGACTTGTGTTTCGAGTTATTACTACAATGTTTTTTTTCCTAGTCAATATGTGAGGTGAATTACATAGTAGTACTAGATATCAAGTAAACAATATCCCACGTTACTAGATCAAATATTTTTTGTAAGTTATTGTAAATAATTTATAATCATGAAATTAATGTTGCACCTTAGAATTTCGTGAAGTAAGAAAGAAAGAAAGAAAGAAAAAACTCATGCATTAACGTTGTGTTCATCCTTAAACATACTTGAACAAACATTGAAATCTTATAAATCATGCAGTTATTATAATTTCACAAATAGAAAACATTGTTTACTCTAGCAAGAATTTCTCTTCATGACAGGCAAATTCATAAGGTACAAGGTAACAGTACCAGAGATGCTAGGCAATGTTCAAGAAATATATAGGGACTTGTCTAATTACAATATGGAGCAATTGTTGGGGTTTGAATCACAAACCACTTCGTACGTAAGAGGCCGTGAATAATAATAATATGGAGCATGATATGGAATTACCTGCCATGGATATTTCTCTTCTTCTTTCTTCTCATCTTTACCTTTGTCTTTCTCTTCTTCCACACTCATAATATTGGCATTACCAACCTTTTTCCTTAGTGATTTCCCCAGCTTAACCGAATCAACTTCCTCTCCAATCACCACTATCTGATCTTTGGCTGCCCCACCCAGCGCCACCGAAGTCACCCCTAGAAACACAAAAAAACAATTTGAGATTTTTATTTTTAAATAATTTGTTGGTAATAAAGATAATAAAATTGGTTTTAGTTTCTTGACATGGTCTGGAAGCTAGCTAGGTATTTAAGTCATGAAAGTTTGGTGGAAAGTGATGCATACTAACCATCTGCCGTCGCCGCAATCTTCTTGGCTTTTTTTCTACATTTCTCGCAATTCATTTGCACTTTAAATACTATTTTTTGCTGCAATATTTAGAACAAAGCATAGATGATTATATGCATCTGTTTCTCAATTAGTACTGCTGAAGTTAGGCGCAAGAAAAAAAAGGAAAAGAAGTTTTGGAATTTAGTTTGACGCAGGAGATCAAAGAAGTTTACCTTCATATTTGACAACTATAGAGTTGTCGACCCTATGCTTTGCATGTATAGAATTTGAGCGTGTCGACCCTGTAAAGAAGTTCAACTATTTATAGATGGGGAAACTAAAGATGTCCAACAATACTTAGGAATGTGTTGGCCAATCAGAAATAAGAGTCCCTTTTATTATATTTATTCTTAATTAGAGCACTTTTGTGATTGTATATTGTAATAACAAAAAAAAAAAAAAAGCACTTCCATTTTTTTATTATTATATTATTTTTATTTAAAAAAAATACAAAACCAAAAAATAAATTAAAAAAAAAGAAACAGATTGAAGTCTATCCCAATTTTTAAATTCGAGTTTAGCTTGGTTGGATCACCTTTCAATAACAGAGTTTGAGTTTAAATTGAATAGCTAAAAAATCTGAATTTTAAAATATTTGATTTAGGATGAAACTGAAATTTGAAAGTGTTTGATTGAAGGTAAAACTCAAATTCTCAATATCTATAAAAGGGCAGTATTCTGAAAAAAAAAAAAAAAGGAGAGGAATTTTTGGGGGTTTTAGGCAGTAGCATTCATCGAAAGTTTTTGGGTTAAAGATTTAGTTTTCTAGGTTTAGTTTTGTGCTCGTGATTTCCAGTTCCTGTTTGAATCTTCAGGACACCATTTCATGCTCGTTCTTCACCGTTCTGCATCCGAGTTTGGATGTTTATAATTTCTGGGTTTTCTAGAAGAGAGTTCTTGCATTTTTTTTCTTTAGTTCGTCGAGTCCTCAAGAAAACAGGCAATTTAGCGTGCATCCACTCTTTTCAAAATTAAACGAAATACACACATAATTTCACAAATCTCGAAACCAACCACCTGCAGCGGAAGGCTCTGATATCACTGCATAAGTTTCATTCCATTTTTACAATTCAACAAAACTTCTTAAAGTAATGTACCTCATTCAATTTCTTTTCATTTTAGCTTCAATTATTTTGTGTTGCCTTTAAAAAATAAAAATAAAAAGGGAGACACTGGTAAAAGCTAATTGGAGATAAATCTCTCAATCCATTTGTCATGAGATCGTAGCTACGGGTTTAAGGGTTAATACTTACACTAGAGTTATTTGATTTTTGGTGGGGGAAATTTCGTGAGATTTTATAAAAAAAGAAAAAAAAACAAAAAAAGAAAAACAGGGACGAACTAGAGAGAGAGAGTCGGCTGAACTGAAACTGCCTTAGCCAAAAAAACAAAAGGAAATAAAAAAGGAAAAAAGGAATGGAGGGATTCTGATTGGCATATGGCACCTGGTTAGTGAGGGAGACGAAAGAAAAAAAAACAAAGAAAAAGGGAGATTGCGTGAGAGAATAGGAATAGGGGAGAGAGTTTTGGAATTTATCCAAAAGAAATGTTTTTATAAAAAATATAAAGGAACTTCTGTTGAGTGGTGTTTATGGGTCTTGGGTCTGGCTCGTGGCAAAATAAGAAAAGAAAGAAATGGGCGAAAGAAGAAAAAACAAAGAAAAAAGGAGATTGCGTGAGAGAACAGGAACATGAGAGAGAAAGTTTTGGAATTTATCAAAAAGAAATGTTTTGATAAAAAATATAAAGAAGCTTCTGTTGAGTGGTGTTGGGTCCGGCCCGTGGCAAAATAAGAAAAGAAAGAAATGGGGGCTGGTTTGGAAGGGAGGTTGGGCCGCTAGTCTAGGAATAAAAATTGAAAAAAAGACGCAGAGATTGGTTTGATCCAAGCTTCGCATTCATCCATTTTTCGTAGGAAAATAAGGAGATGGATGTAATCTATTTGATTTAAAAATTTAAATTTTATGTATCTTGTATTTAATTCAGATGTTCAAGGTGTTTAATTATTATTATTATTATTATTTTGTATATTTTGTCCGTTCGTATTTAATTTAATATTTATTTATTTATTTTAGTTTTGACTTTTATACATGCGTGCTATTTATAAAAAATATATAAAAAGTAATAATAAATTAGCGAAGTCTCCTTTTGGTAGGGATTGTCGTTTTGTGGTGAGATCTCCTATCCGATAGGGATCTTCGTCACCAAATCATCATTTAATTTAATCGAGTGTCCTCCGATGCACCGATTGTGCCAAGGCTTTAAGTGGATCCGATGTTTGAACCGACATGTCGCCCGATGAAGGGGACCGACGATCACTTCAATACGATGCCATGCTCAAAACTAATTTTTTTTATTTAATTTGATTTTTTTTATTTTTATTTTTTGCTTTAAAAATCGGAGTTTCAAATCAAAAAAATAATTTGACATAAATGAAACATTTTAGGAGATAAATTTAGGACTAAACTAGACATGGTACCTTTCTTTGGAAAGAGTACTTTTGGGCGAATAAATATCTTTCCAAAAGTGTAACCAACTGTTTACCATAGAATCTTTGGATCGGTGTAATTTATAGGTTCCTAGTTCCTTAATACTAGGTGGTGACTACGAACGTATGATCAAACTTTGTAAATAGTGATACTCTTTTTAGGAGTCCCGTTCGACGTCGGGTAGCGACATATATAATGATTATTTGTCTAATATAAATACAATTCATTGTTGCCATATTATGGTGTGCAACCTTAAATATTCTTCATATATAGTATGAGACGTCACATGCATGGCCTTAATTTCTTGTGATTTCTCTAGAGTTGCATGGACCCTGTGAATTATAGATGCGAAAAAGATGTCCGAATGCCTAAAAGCACGGGCCTACGATTAGTTGTCAAATATATATTAGTGTTATGTAATTGTATATACCTTTTTATTGTATTTATTCTCATAACACTCTTGTAATTGTATATAATGATTACGTTTAATATAAATATAATTTATTTCTGCCATATTATGGTATACAACCTTAAATATTCTTCATGGTATTAAATGTCACACGGTCATCTTTGTGATTCTGTAGATTCTTTTAATTTCTTCTCATGGCCATCGAAAATATTATTAAAGAATAATATAAATTATATTCCGAGGTTTTATCTAAGAGTTTAAGTTTTTGGATGAAATGATCATTTGACATGATATCGGAGCTTTAATGATCAAACGGTCGAGAGTTCGAATCTCACCACCCCCATACGTGAGACTGTACAAGTTTTAAGTTCAAAAGATTTTCATTTGAAGAAATTTGTTAAAAAATAATATAAATCATATCCCAGGTGAGATGATCCTTTAACAGATACTACCTTTGCTTCTACCTTTGATATTTTGGTTTCCTTAACTCCTGAAATGTCTTTGAAGTCGCTCTTATCATTTGGTATTACAACAACGGTCTTAACTCATTCTCTTTTGTTTATCATAATCAATAACATCTACCATACTATTCTATAGGACCATTAGTATATCTTACAATCAATCTATATAGATCTGTCGTATCTTTCTCTGTCATGGCGGCTATGCAGAACATTCCACAACCAAGTCTCTCCAGCTCTCTTAATTTGACTACTCTGATGATGCCTCTGTCAATCCTACTCCAAACATCATGCATCATTGAAAGTAGATATCAATAACTATATGTATTATGAAAATCTCAATTTCTATCAGTTCTAATTACTCATGAATTGTTCGGTTATGTTAATGGAAGTTATTCTTGTCCTTCTAAACTCACACAAGATGCGTAAGGAAATATGGAAGCTAATTCTGTATATCTTGCTTGGTTAAAAACAAAAAAATCAATGTTTACATAGTTGATTAAATGCAACTTTCATTGCAAAAATTCTCCAAGAAGTTCATGATCTTTCAATTTCTCATGCTGTTTTGGTTGCTTTAGAACGTCGTCATTTAGTAGAAACAATGTTAATTAGTGTTATGTAGTTGTTTATAACTTTTCTATTGTATTTGCTTTCAAAGCACTCTTATAATTGTAGAGTATTGATTTAATATAAATACAATTGACTGCTACCAATATGTTGCGGTATGCAGCATAAATATTCTTCAATATATACTAATTGGAAAGTATATATATAAATACAATAATCATATTTTATAACATTTCATTTCTAACAAAAACGTTTCCATGTAGCTTAATTCAATAGGTAAACATGTTTTGTGTATGTAATTTTTTATTTTTATAAAACAACAACTACAAAATTGACTATAATATTGTTAATACATAGGTGATGTTGAAAAGACTTGGTGACTTCAAATGGAGAGTGGAGAATAGTGCTGCATAGTATTGTTAGGTGAGGAGTCTGGTTTTCAAGGTTCTTCAAACATGAGTTGAATTTTTTGTATAGGACATTTTCAAGGAACCTCACTTGTGGTTTCTATTAAGTCTTTGGTCTATTCTTTATTTAATTTAAGAGAATTGACTTGAATTGACTTGAATGAAAAAATAAACTCTAATCATTTAAGTAAATGATTTCAGATTTAAATTTTTATGTTTATAAAAATCTCATTAGGTAATTGTTCTCATTTTGTGCGTCCAACAGGATAGCGATTAATTAGTTTGATACTTTGGGCTTTAAATACCATAAGGATAAAAAAAATAAAGAAAAGAAGATACTATGTGCCTTTTTATTTTCCATAAAAAATAATAAAAATCAGGTCTTTGGTATAGGCCATTTTCAAAGAAGCTCACTTGTGGTTGCTATTAAGTCGTCTTTGGTCTTTAATTAGTCTCTGCCCCGCCACTCAAATTTATGATAACAAATCAGGTCAGAGTATACTTATTTTCGTGGATAATAAAAATTATTTTACTCTCATAATTAACTTTCTATATGTCTCCAATTTTTTTTTTAATTGAATTGAGGTATAAAAAAATTGAGAACCGAACAATCAAACCAAAATATTTTGATTATCTTAATTGGATTTTTCATAAATTTGGTTCCATTAAATTTTTGAAACAATTGAATAGATCGAATAAATCGAAAGCTGAACCAAACTACTATGTGTCACCTCTATCTGTAACTTCCATGACATGTGTTTCGAGTTATATAATCCATCTAATCGACGTTAGTGAAGACTTTCATGGTCAATTTTGTTTTCATTTGTTTCTTTTGTCCCCTTCTTCTTCTTCTTCTTCTTGTTTTTTTTTCCTAGTCAATATGTGAGGTGAATTACATAGTAGTACTAGGTATCAAGTAAACAATATCCCACGTTACTAGATCAAATATTTTTTTGTAAGTTATTGCAAATAATTTATAATCATGAAATTAATGTTGCACCTTAGAATTTCGCGAAGTAAGAAAGAAAGAAAAAAAAAAACTCATGCATTAACGTTGTGTTCATCCTTAAACATACTTGAACAAACATTGAAATCTTATAAATCATGCAGTTATTATAATTTCACAAATATAAAACATTGTTTACTCTAGCAAGAATTTCTCTCATGACAGGCAAATTCATAAGGTACAAGGTAACAGTACCAGAGATGCTAGGCAATGTTCAAGAAATATATAGGGACTTGTCTAATTACAATATGGAGCAATTGCTAGGGTTTGAATCACAAACCACTTCACACATTAGAGGCTGTGAGTAATAATATGGGACAGGATACGGAGTTAGTTGCCATGGATATTTCTCTTTTTCTTTCTCATCTTTACCTTTGTCTTTCCCTTTGTCTTTCTCATCTTTACCTTTGTCTTTCTCTTCTTCCACACTCATAATATTGGCATTACCAACCTTTTTCCTTAGTGATTTCCCCAGCTTAACCGAATCAACTTCCTCTCCAATCACCACTATCTGATCTTTGGCTGCCCCACCCAGCGCCATCGAAGTCACCCCTAGAAACACAAAAAAACAATTTGAGATTTTTATTTTTAAATAAGTTGTTGGTAACAAAGATAATAAAATTGGTTTTAGTTTCTTGACATGGTCTGGAAGCTAGCTAGGTATTTAAGTCATGAAATTTTGGTGGAAAGTGATGCATACTAACCATCTTCCGTCGCCGCAATCTTCTTGGCTTTTTTCTACATTTCTCGCAATTCATTTGCACTTTAAATACTATTTTTTGCTGCAATATTTAGAACAAAGCATAGATAATTATATGCATCTGTTTCTCAACTAGTACTGCTGAAGTTAGGCGCCAGAAAAAAAAAAAAGGAAAAGAAGTTTTGGAATTTAGTTTGACGCAGGAGATCAAAGAAGTTTACCTTCATATTTGACAACTATAGAGCTGTCGACCCTATGCTTTGCATGTATAGAATTTGAGCGTGTCGACCCTGTAAAGAAGTTCCAACTATTTATAGATGGGGAAACTAAAGATGTCCAACAATACTTAGGAATGTGTTGGCCAATCAGAAATAAGAGTCCCTTTTATTATATTTATTCTTAATTAGAGCACTTTTGTGATTGTATATAATGATTATTTGTCTAATATAAATACAATTCATTGTTGCCATATTATGGTGTGCAACCTTAAATATTCTTCATATATAGTATGAGACGTCACATGCATGGCCTTAATTTCTTGTGATTTCTCTAGAGTTGCATGGACCCTGTGAATTATAGATGCGAAAAAGATGTCCGAATGCCTAAAAGCACGGGCCTACGATTAGTTGTCAAATATATATTAGTGTTATGTAATTGTATATACCTTTTTATTGTATTTATTCTCATAACACTCTTGTAATTGTATATAATGATTACGTTTAATATAAATATAATTTATTTCTGCCATATTATGGTATACAACCTTAAATATTCTTCATGGTATTAAATGTCACACGGTCATCTTTGTGATTCTGTAGATTCTTTTAATTTCTTCTCATGGCCATCGAAAATATTATTAAAGAATAATATAAATTATATTCTGAGGTTTTATCTAAGAGTTTAAGTTTTTGGATGAAATGATCATTTGACATGATATCGAGCTTTAATGATCAAACGGTCGAGAGTTCGAATCTCACCACCCCCATACGTGAGACTGTACAAGTTTTAAGTTCAAAAGATTTTCATTTGAAGAAATTTGTTAAAAAATAATATAAATCATATCCCAGGTGAGATGATCCTTTAACAGATACTACCTTTGCTTCTACCTTTGATATTTTGGTTTCCTTAACTCCTGAAATGTCTTTGAAGTCGCTCTTATCATTTGGTATTACAACAACGGTCTTAACTCATTCTCTTTTGTTTATCATAATCAATAACATCTACCATACTATTCTATAGGACCATTAGTATATCTTACAATCAATCTATATAGATCTGTCGTATCTTTCTCTGTCATGGCGGCTATGCAGAACATTCCACAACCAAGTCTCTCCAGCTCTCTTAATTTGACTACTCTGATGATGCCTCTGTCAATCCTACTCCAAACATCATGCATCATTGAAAGTAGATATCAATAACTATATGTATTATGAAAATCTCAATTTCTATCAGTTCTAATTACTCATGAATTGTTCGGTTATGTTAATGGAAGTTATTCTTGTCCTTCTAAACTCACACAAGATGCGTAAGGAAATATGGAAGCTAATTCTGTATATCTTGCTTGGTTAAAAACAAAAAAATCAATGTTTACATAGTTGATTAAATGCAACTTTCATTGCAAAAATTCTCCAAGAAGTTCATGATCTTTCAATTTCTCATGCTGTTTTGGTTGCTTTAGAACGTCGTCATTTAGTAGAAACAATGTTAATTAGTGTTATGTAGTTGTTTATAACTTTTCTATTGTATTTGCTTTCAAAGCACTCTTATAATTGTAGAGTATTGATTTAATATAAATACAATTGACTGCTACCAATATGTTGCGGTATGCAGCATAAATATTCTTCAATATATACTAATTGGAAAGTATATATATAAATACAATAATCATATTTTATAACATTTCATTTCTAACAAAAACGTTTCCATGTAGCTTAATTCAATAGGTAAACATGTTTTGTGTATGTAATTTTTTATTTTTATAAAACAACAACTACAAAATTGACTATAATATTGTTAATACATAGGTGATGTTGAAAAGACTTGGTGACTTCAAATGGAGAGTGGAGAATAGTGCTGCATAGTATTGTTAGGTGAGGAGTCTGGTTTTCAAGGTTCTTCAAACATGAGTTGAATTTTTTGTATAGGACATTTTCAAGGAACCTCACTTGTGGTTTCTATTAAGTCTTTGGTCTATTCTTTATTTAATTTAAGAGAATTGACTTGAATTGACTTGAATGAAAAAAATAAACTCTAATCATTTAAGTAAATGATTTCAGATTTAAATTTTTATGTTTATAAAAATCTCATTAGGTAATTGTTCTCATTTTGTGCGTCCAACAGGATAGCGATTAATTAGTTTGATACTTTGGGCTTTAAATACCATAAGGATAAAAAAAATAAAGAAAAGAAGATACTATGTGCCTTTTTATTTTCCATAAAAAATAATAAAAATCAGGTCTTTGGTATAGGCCATTTTCAAAGAAGCTCACTTGTGGTTGCTATTAAGTCGTCTTTGGTCTTTAATTAGTCTCTGCCCCGCCACTCAAATTTATGATAACAAATCAGGTCAGAGTATACTTATTTTCGTGGATAATAAAAATTATTTTACTCTCATAATTAACTTTCTATATGTCTCCAATTTTTTTTTTAATTGAATTGAGGTATAAAAAAATTGAGAACCGAACAATCAAACCAAAATATTTTGATTATCTTAATTGGATTTTTCATAAATTTGGTTCCATTAAATTTTTGAAACAATTGAATAGATCGAATAAATCGAAAGCTGAACCAAACTACTATGTGTCACCTCTATCTGTAACTTCCATGACATGTGTTTCGAGTTATATAATCCATCTAATCGACGTTAGTGAAGACTTTCATGGTCAATTTTGTTTTCATTTGTTTCTTTTGTCCCCTTCTTCTTCTTCTTCTTCTTGTTTTTTTTTCCTAGTCAATATGTGAGGTGAATTACATAGTAGTACTAGGTATCAAGTAAACAATATCCCACGTTACTAGATCAAATATTTTTTTGTAAGTTATTGCAAATAATTTATAATCATGAAATTAATGTTGCACCTTAGAATTTCGCGAAGTAAGAAAGAAAGAAAAAAAAAAACTCATGCATTAACGTTGTGTTCATCCTTAAACATACTTGAACAAACATTGAAATCTTATAAATCATGCAGTTATTATAATTTCACAAATATAAAACATTGTTTACTCTAGCAAGAATTTCTCTCATGACAGGCAAATTCATAAGGTACAAGGTAACAGTACCAGAGATGCTAGGCAATGTTCAAGAAATATATAGGGACTTGTCTAATTACAATATGGAGCAATTGCTAGGGTTTGAATCACAAACCACTTCACACATTAGAGGCTGTGAGTAATAATATGGGACAGGATACGGAGTTAGTTGCCATGGATATTTCTCTTTTTCTTTCTCATCTTTACCTTTGTCTTTCCCTTTGTCTTTCTCATCTTTACCTTTGTCTTTCTCTTCTTCCACACTCATAATATTGGCATTACCAACCTTTTTCCTTAGTGATTTCCCCAGCTTAACCGAATCAACTTCCTCTCCAATCACCACTATCTGATCTTTGGCTGCCCCACCCAGCGCCATCGAAGTCACCCCTAGAAACACAAAAAAACAATTTGAGATTTTTATTTTTAAATAAGTTGTTGGTAACAAAGATAATAAAATTGGTTTTAGTTTCTTGACATGGTCTGGAAGCTAGCTAGGTATTTAAGTCATGAAATTTTGGTGGAAAGTGATGCATACTAACCATCTTCCGTCGCCGCAATCTTCTTGGCTTTTTTTCTACATTTCTCGCAATTCATTTGCACTTTAAATACTATTTTTTGCTGCAATATTTAGAACAAAGCATAGATAATTATATGCATCTGTTTCTCAACTAGTACTGCTGAAGTTAGGCGCCAGAAAAAAAAAAAAGGAAAAGAAGTTTTGGAATTTAGTTTGACGCAGGAGATCAAAGAAGTTTACCTTCATATTTGACAACTATAGAGCTGTCGACCCTATGCTTTGCATGTATAGAATTTGAGCGTGTCGACCCTGTAAAGAAGTTCCAACTATTTATAGATGGGGAAACTAAAGATGTCCAACAATACTTAGGAATGTGTTGGCCAATCAGAAATAAGAGTCCCTTTTATTATATTTATTCTTAATTAGAGCACTTTTGTGATTGTATATAATGATTATTTGTCTAATATAAATACAATTCATTGTTGCCATATTATGGTGTGCAACCTTAAATATTCTTCATATATAGTATGAGACGTCACATGCATGGCCTTAATTTCTTGTGATTTCTCTAGAGTTGCATGGACCCTGTGAATTATAGATGCGAAAAAGATGTCCGAATGCCTAAAAGCACGGGCCTACGATTAGTTGTCAAATATATATTAGTGTTATGTAATTGTATATACCTTTTTATTGTATTTATTCTCATAACACTCTTGTAATTGTATATAATGATTACGTTTAATATAAATATAATTTATTTCTGCCATATTATGGTATACAACCTTAAATATTCTTCATGGTATTAAATGTCACACGGTCAGCTTTGTGATTCTGTAGATTCTTTTAATTTCTTCTCATGGCCATCGAAAATATTATTAAAGAATAATATAAATTATATTCTGGGTCTTATCTAAGAGTTTAAGTTTTTGGATGAAATGATCATTTGACATGATATCGAGCTTTAATGATCAAACGGTCGAGAGTTCGAATCTCACCACCCCCATACGTGAGACTGGACAAGTTTTAAGTTTAAAAGATTTTCATTTGAAGAAATTTGTTAAAAAATAATATAAATCATATCCCAGGTGAGATGGTCCTTTAACAGATACTACCTTTGCTTCTACCTTTGATATTTTGGTTTCCTTAACTCCTGAAATGTCTTTGAAGTCGCTCTTATCATTTGGTATTACAACAACGGTCTTAACTCATTCTCTTTTGTTTATCATAATCAATAACATCTACCATACTATTCTATAGGACCATTAGTATATCTTACAATCAATCTATATAGATCTGTCGTATCTTTCTCTGTCATGGCGGCTATGCAGAACATTCCACAACCAAGTCTCTCAAGCTCTCTTAATTTGACTACTCTGATGATGCCTCTGTCAATCCTACTTCAAACATCATGCATCATTGAAAGTAGATATCAATAACTATATGTATTATGAAAATCTCAATTTCTATCGGTTCTAATTACTCACGAATTGTTCGGTTATGTTAATGGAAGTTATTCTTGTCCTTCTAAACTCACACAAGATGCTTAAGGAAATATGGAAGCTAATTCTGTATATCTTGCTTGGTTAAAAACAAAAAAATCAATGTTTACGTAGTTGATTAAATGCAACTTTCATTGCAAAAATTCTCCAAGAAGTTCGTGATCTTTCAATTTCTCATGCTGTTTTGGTTGCTTTAGAACCTCGTCATTTAGTAGAAACAATGTTAATTAGTGTTATATAGTTGTTTATAACTTTTCTATTGTATTTGCTTTCAAAGCACTCTTATAATTGTAGAGTATTGATTTAATATAAATACAATTGACTGCTACCGATATGTTGCGGTATTGTTAATACATAGTTGATGTTGAAAAGACTTGGTGACTTCAAATGGAAAGTGGAGAATAGTGCTGCATAGTATTGTTAGGTGAGGAGTCTGGTTTTCAAGGCTCTTCAAACATGAGTTGAATTTTTTGTATAGGCCATTTTCAAGGAACCTCACTTGTGGTTTCTATTAAGTCTTTTGTCTATTCTTTCATTAATTTAAGAGAATTGACTTGAATTGACTTGAATGAAAAAAATAAATTCTAGTCATTTAATTAAATGATTTCAGATTTAAATTTTTATGTCTATAAAAATCTCATTAGGTAATTGTTCTCATTTTATGGGTTTAACAGGATAACGATGGATTAGTATGATACTTTAAACTTTAAATACCATAGGGATAAAAAAAAAAAAAAAAAAAAAGATACTATGTATCCTTTCATTTTCCATCATAGATCTCTCACTTAAATTTAAGATAAAATGTTTTTTCGTGACAACAACAACAATAAAGTTCTCTCTCATTTTTTTCTCTGTAACTTTTGGGAAATTTTATATCTTTCTAACTTTATAGTTTCTAACATTTCATTTCTAGCAAAATCATTTTGGCTTAATTCAACATGTAAACGTGTTTTGGCATATGCATTTCTTTTTACAAAACAAATAGAAAATGAAGATTAGAGTATGTTCCGTAATGGAAAATATTCTCTAATTTTCTGCTGTATTTTTTCTTTTTCATTTTCGGATGAGAAATCAAAAAACATGTCCACTTTTTTACACTTTACAATAGTTCTTCAAATTTAAAGAATAGGAAACATGTTCACATTATAGTCATTTTATGCATATAGAAAGTTGACTTGTGAGTGATGTTAGGGTTATCTCATGCAAGTAGATGTGTAAAGGAGTGATGATTAACATGAAACATACTGGATGCACTTGTTGCTCCCTTCCCACCCCAAAAAAATAAATAAATAAATAAATAAAATAAAAATAAAAATAAAAAAAATTCATAAAGTTGTAAAATAAAGGAAAAACGGAAAAGTGTTCTTTTGAACTTGTAACGAGGGAGAAAAAGATATCAAACAATTCGACTTGCTTTCCAAAATCTAATTACAACTTAGAAACAAGAAACAAAAAAAAGGCTTACTTTTCTGTTTTAAAAAACAATTTTTTCTTTTTATTTTATTCAAGAGAGAGGCAAAACTATGAAAAAATTACAAGTTATTAATTGTGATAGTCTCAACTTCGTAAATTTCATTTAACAAAAGATTAGAATAATCTAAAAAAATCTTCTAAATGATTGTGAAAATAACATGTTTCACCAAACACACCTCCAATCTCCTTGAATATATATATATATATATATATATATACTTTCAGAAAACTATTTCTTTGTCTTCGTAGGAAAAGAAATTTACTCACAAAAGATTAGGATATGCTACTTTTCTAACATGTTAAAAGTCAGGTTTCAACTTGGACTTTCTCAGCCCAAACATGACTCACAAGTCACAACTTTTCATTTTCAAATGAATTTGCTCTGTCATATAGTGGAAATAACATGGATATTGTCGTAGAAAACTTCTACCCTGACAATAATTGATATGATATTTTCTTGGACAGATTACATTGTCGAGGCTAAATACGTTTCAATAACTCGAAAAATTACACAGATACTTCACTTTCTATACCTAAAAAAAGAAGAAGCAAAAGACTACAACAGTAATAGCAACAAAACCCTAAATTGAGCCAGTTTCAAACCATGTGTCCTTAGAAAAAGTTGAACTTGCCAGTTTTATTTAATCTAACTTTATTCGGATTGTTTGGAGACGATTGGTAGATTTGGTCTTACCTTTTCTTTTGCTAGCTGGCTTCATCTCAATTTGCTAACTCCTACTATCAATTATCTTAATTCCATCTAATTTTCTTGAATGTCAGCTTTTCACACACTATTTCATTAATGTTTCTCACCTACGTACGGTTTTGCTTCTTAAATGTCAAAGACAGAGCAATGAGAGTCTCTAAAAGACGACTACTTAGAAAATACTTACAAAATTTTTGTTTGAAATGTGGCAAAAAACTACCGCAAAACATCAACTACTGTTTACTCCTTGAATGTCAGCTTTTCACATACGAGTAGTTAAATAAGTTTATTATCCAACAAATGGAAGTATTGAGTTGAAGATTACATAGGTTTGTACAAGTTCTGTAGAATGTTATTGATATCAAAACCCCCTGCAGAAGCAGATATATCCTGCATGTTTTCCGTTTGAAAGTGCTGCCTTGAAGATTAATAAAGATCTTCACGTGAATCACATCAGTTTGATCTTCACATGAATCACATCAGTTTACAAACTTTTTAACACGATTGACGGGAAAATGGAAAGGATTAGAAAGAATGCTGCAGCATCAGACCATTTTCAATCTTCATTACTGTATATACCACAGAAAGAATGGGTGGACCAGCAGTTAGTGAAGCATCGATCCAAGCAACGCCCAGCAACTGGCTTGAAGATTTATTTTAACATCCAACAAAACAATACAAATCCAACCCTGTTTCCTCATGTATGTTCTCCATGTTCTAATTTGTGTCAGTTGGCTTTTAAATAAACAGAGAAGAGCAAAAATAATCTTAACAAAGCAATTTCATCATCAACGCGACATTCATGGATTCGATTTAGCAACCTGTAAAATCGTTGCTAGCATAATAACATCAAGGAGAAATACAACAAGAGGTTCAATAGGTTGCTGCTTAGTACACAATTATTACAAGGAGATATCAATCGACCCGAAAACAACAAAATCAACAACAATGACAAAGCTGACAAAATAAGAACCAACAAGGTCCCAAAAATCATAGTAAATAATGATGTTGAGATCAATTATGATGGTCCGCTTCAAGAAAGCGAGAAATTTATTGTGTTGTAGGTAGAATTCATTGAGTCCTGTTCATGGTAATGATCGATGGAACCTAATGAGGTAAACAAATTAAGAATGGATCAGGATTGGTATAAGAAACAAAATTGTTGGAATAAACAGAACAATGCAGGAGAAACGGGCTTACATGGTAATGAAAGGATGGTTTAGAACTTGAGCATCATCCATCAGTATTACCTATTGCAGAGAATGAGTAATTCAAAGAATGAGAATGATAACAATATTCAAGGAAAATTATTCAGGAAGGTAAGTACATTTTGAAGAAAAGTAGTCTAAAGTTTATAGCTGTAAGTAGAACAAATCTTTAGTATATTTTTGTTATTCATCCAAACATTCGCTTCACCTCAGCTCCATAAGATCTTTCATCCTCAGGGTCGTAAGTACCGTCATGTTGGAGTAATGGTACATGCTTCACTATCCAGTAGTCATCATGTGACAACCTTAGATTGAACTCATTTGATATCCCTGCAAAATATAGTCAGTTGAGGTCTTTCAAGTGTTGGATTCCAGAGGGCACCTCCTTCATCTGCGGGAAAGCTCTTCAAGAAGAGGCATTGCTCCTTCGTTTATTATCATCTTCTTCAATCCACTCAAACCATTAAGATATAGACACTTGAGTTTCTGAACCCTCCTCCTTCAAAATGCATCTTGTCTCCATTGTATCCACAATCAAGCCCAAGAATTTTAAATTGGGTAGAGTTTGAAGGACTTCAATTGGATCATCCATCAATCTTGAATAGCCCAAAGTCAGTTTCGCTAGATTGTGTAGCTTGGGAATCCAGTCTGGAAATCTCTCTAATTCCCCCCAAAGTGAGAGATTTCCAAGGTTAGGAGGAGGACAAGACATTGATTGTACATCATTAATTTTATCATTAACTGAAGCAACAAATAATGTCCGAAGGTGAGTCATCTTCTCTAAGACAATGCATAGATCCTTTCCATGTTCCCTTTACAAATTTACGATCCCCAATTTCTTCAACACTCCTAACTCAGTGATACCCTATTTGTTGCTCTATAATTTATCTTTGGCGTCTCCAACTTCTGTGGAATGTTTATACCCAGAGAAAACATAAATAAAGAGCTTGACCTTTTTTATGTCCTTATCTGTGTATCTATATTGCTAAGGTTGTGTGTTCTTTACAATAGCAATTGAAAAGACTATATATAATGCACAGAAATATATAAACAACAAAAGTTGAATTTCAAGCTAAACAGACCGGATTCAAAGTTCATAATTTAGTATGTAAACTGTGATTTCATAACGTAGTCAAGCTAATGATCTCGTGTTATGCATTCGAAGGATAAATTGACTCTCCCTCATGGTTCTCTCTATGTTGCCAATCATCTTCAATCGCTTATAGAATCAACATGTGCCTCTATTGCTTTGATACCATACAGTAAAACAAAGAAGGCTTAAACTGACTTGTAACATTCACAAGAGCAGTGTATACACACACACACACACACAAAAAAAAAAAGGTTGTGACATGCACCAGTATAGAAATACCATGTTACAGCATAGATTATCTTCTAAACAATAGTCAGTGATAGCAGAAAATCCTTGGTCGGATGCTTTATCATATGCTTGGAACAGCAAACAGAAAAAAAAAGAAAAAAGAAAAAAAAATCATTTGGTCAGGTAGTGAAAGGAAGCACAAACCTCATATCTCTCCACCTGAATATCGCTGCTACACTTTCAAAAATTCCCTTCTGGTTAACTGCAGCTTTCCAATCCTGTATCTCTGATTTTTGTGCCCTATCCTAGTAGCTGAGCTAAAAGGGTTGTTCTTCTTGTGTTCATCTGCACAAGATTTACCATCATTTTTGCCGCCTTCTTAATTTCTTGCATTTTCTTTGAAATCTCCACCTACATGTGAATGCTCGGTTATTTAATTAATTTAATTAATGTAAACATGGAATTTATTAAAGTTGCCAGTGGATTAGCTAGCCCACACAAATATATTTTATTAGGGTTTGATTATAGATAAGTGCTGAATTTGATCTTACTTTCTTCTTGCTTTTACTTTGTTAATTCCCACTATCAATTATTTTAACCAAACCAGCTCAAGAATCAATCTTAATCACAAACCATTATCAATCCCATAAAATAAGGATCAAAGACACAGTTTTTTGCTAGAAAACACTTCTTAATTTTGGTTAGGGAAGTGGCAAGAACCTTCCCCTCACACCAACTATTAACTTGCATAGATTTCTCTCCTTGGTAAATACAGTTAAATTTTGATTCAATTCTGCTCTGTTTTTTGCTACTTTTCTTTGTTTTGTTACCTCTGCAGAAAGATGTCCTGCATACCAAACAGGGTGATCTTTAGATTCCATGGACAACTCTAAAGTAGACATAGAAATCACTAGAGCAGTTCACAAACTATTTCCTACCGAACAAGAACAAGTTTTTCACACAAATCATTGGTTTGCTTTAGCATGCATTATTATTATAATTCAGAAACTTTATCCTAAACAACAAATTAACATCAGCTAAAAAGATGATATGGTCCAATCCAATGAAGTTCATATTTGGTAAATTTGTATTGGTAAGTAGCGAAAGTAACCACAAACCTCATACTTCTTGTCGGCCAGAGAGCATGCAACTTGCTTTGTTTGGCAAGGAGATAATTTCTTGATTTGCTTCAAGCTGGAGGAAGATCACCATCTTATCAAGCAGCCACAGGCCTTACCTGCTGCTTCAACCAAGACACAACAGTTGAAGGTTGGGTTCCTTTTCCTTTTTCCATATCACAAGTTTGTAGACTTTAATTACCAACAACTTTCAATTTCTTTCTCTTTCTAGCAATATTCAATTCATTGTGCATTAAACAAACATGGCTGGCTAAGTTCACAGTACTCCACAGTCCCATGGGGAAAAGCCATGGTGGGCCTCCTCGATCCCCTGACAATGTAAGACACAAGAGTGATGATGACTATTATCGGGGAAAAAAAAAGATATATATTATCCTTTTGGACTTTGTGCCATCTCTTGAATTTAAGTGAAAACATAAATGCCCCTCGGAATAAAAACATTTTGATTTTACCTCCTAAATAATATGTTTTTTTTTTTTTTAATGTGCTCCTTTTGATATGTTTTGTATAGGAAAATGACGAAAACCTCTTAAATTGGAGGGTCAAAGGTTCATGACATCCCTTTATTATTTCAGATGTCTTGATTGCATCTTTTTATTAAAATTTTTAACCATTATATTTTTTTTAATTTTTAATTGAATCTGTATTTAATCATTTCAATTATTTTTTTAGACACCCAAGATGAAAATAATAAAATAAAAAATGTTAAAAATTATCTTTGTTTAATTGATAATAATATAAAATGTGATTGTTGGAATTCTCTTTGTAGGTGGAAGTGGATTTTGAATTATCAGCACATGCATGATTAAAATAGTGGTATTCTTTAATCGATTTTTGCATTCAAATTAAATTAAGCATCTTTTTAGTCAAACTTTAAGAAATTAAGTATTTTCTTGTGATTTTTTTTTTAAGATTTAAATTCTACACGAGATAGTATGAGAAGCAAATCCATTTAACATATTAAGCTTTTAAAAATAAAATATTATTTTATTGATATTGAATTCTATACGAGATAATGAGAGTCTTTATAGTTATCCTCTACAGGTTCGTTTTCATTAATTATTTATTATGAGATGCGATTGAATTTTGTTATTATTTTGCTAAGGAAAAATGACTCAAATCAGAGAACTTTTTAGAAATAGAAGGATATGAATACTATTTGAGCATAAACTTATCAGCAATTGAATCTTTAATTTAAATTCATAAATATAGTACTTTTATTTTCCATATATGTTTTTAACGTAGTTATTGCTTCGTTATTGATATATGGCATAAACTCTTTATTTAGTATAATTATTCTCCCATGATTTATGAATGATTGGTCGTTAATTATTGAGAATTAATTATATAATGTTTATGAAGCGATTAAATATCGAGTTGGACCGATTTGGGATAAAATTGGATGTTTTAACCGCTAGTTGCCGCAAGTCGGGAAGTACGAGAGATGTTAGAGTTCCGGAAGGACACAATTGTTCTAAAGCGTGCCCACACCCATCGACGAAATCGTGGTCCTGGAAGACCGAACGGAATTCTCGCATAGAAGTTGAGGAAAAATAGGATCTTGCTCTTATCCTTTCAACTCCGCTTCTATCTTGTTTAAGCGACTTTTGTGGAAGGAGTGCACATCCCCTTCGGGGATGGAGTCTTATGGGGATTTCCTTATAAAAAGGGAGGAGAGAAACCCTAGAAGGGGCGAGCAATTCGGACGAGCATCTTCATCTTAAAACCCAGCCTCCCTTTCAAAAGCATGGGCACCTAGATTCTTCTTTCAGTCGGAGGATTATAGAGGTTTTTGGTTCAAGATTCATTGTGAGATCTTTGTAGTTTAATTATATCTTCTCTAAGAATATCAATTATTTTCCGTGTTCATAAGACAAAGATCCTGCTTGATTGATTAAAAGACGTTTTGGTTAATTGAGTTTGAGTATTGGATGCCAACTGGAATGTTAAATTCGTATATGTTTAATTATTTCAATATCTCGTGGCAATTTGATATGATTGATGAATTGAATTGTGAATTCATGTTAATGGGAATGATTGTTCCAATTTAAATAACCAAGTTTGTGTGTTATTGATTGGAAATTGATTGCTTTTCTATTTCTTCTTGCTATTATCAATTTAAATCTTAAGAGCTTGTTTAGGATTGATTGATTAATAAGAGCTGTGATTGAAGAGCTTATTTCAATCATCAATTATTAAGGGAAGGGTGATTATTAGAACCTGTTAATAATCATAATCAATTTGTTCCGTTGAGAAGATTATCAGCCCATCAATGATCAATTGAATCAAACCATAACCAATATATATCTTCCGACTGGAATTTCATTCTCTCCGATTTTATTCCCTTATTTCTCTCGTTTGATTTCCATTATAGCAACCTTGTTTTATCCATCCAAGAACCCCATTCAATTTTTATTTTCTTTTTAGAAAAGATGATCGACCAATCCTCGTGGAGTACGACTCTACTTCCCTTGACTACAAAAATCCATCCGTGAGAGTAGATAATTTATTTTGTTGGATTCGACACCCATCGGTTATCCTCTACCGAGGTGTTGAGATGTGACTTAAGGTATGAATTGAAAAACTAACAAATCCGTTAATATGGTGACTTTTATAGTTGATTAAGAATTAAATTATGATTTCCAAAATTAGAGGGACCAATTCATTAATTTTTAATAATATAGGGACTAGGTTATAATATATTTTACATATCAAGTCAAACCCATAACTTCACATGTTATATTTTCCAAGCCTCAAACCGTTTTTACTGTCCAAGGAAAATAGATTCCAAACCCCTTTTTGTGGGGGAAGTCATCCCGTTACAAAGTAGGACACAAGATTGATGACTACTTTTATGTCGGATTTTCTTTTAATTTTAGGATAGTATCTGATTAACTTTTCACAATTATTTCGTCGCCTTTTTTTTTAGAAAAAATAAAATATATGCTGGGTACCTGCTTAATACACAATTCATGAATAACTATAGCATAACCCACGAAGAAATAACTTAAGAAAAAATTTAATAGCATCGAGGAGAAATAACATTATAAGTTGCTTGATGAGTAATTATTACAAAGAGATTCAATAAAATGAAAACAAACCAATACAATACAACAAATAACAACAATAATATTGAAAATAATTAAGTTTCACTGTATAAAATAATCATAACAATAAAACTACACACACATATATTGATGTCCAGAGTAATCACCACTTCAGTAATAAGTTGATGAAATTCTTTGAGCGATCTACATATTCATAGTGATCATCAATAAAAGCTAGCTAACAAGGTAAATAAATAAGATCGTGTATTAAAAATTTCTATAAGAAGCAAAAGTATTAGTGTGAATAATAAGACAATGAATTAAATATATATATATATATATATATATATATAATCAACATAATTACCTATCACAAAGAATGAGTAGCACTGTAGGAGTCAGAGAATGATAGGAAATAAAGAAAACAATAATTCAGGGACTAAAAGAAATGAATTGTTGGAGATTAAGTCTTTATTGATCAATTTTGGACCATTTATCCAAATCAATTATCAATGCACCCAGCATTACGTCTGCTTCCATTAGGAAATATATAATTGAATAAAGTTTTTTTGGTCCCTAAACTTTTATAATATGATCAAATAAGGCCTTCTTAAAATAATTTGATCAAATTAAATCTACTTCCTAAAACCTACAAATGATACTACAGCTTTGCATAGATAACAAATGTTGTTATAATCACTAGATATCCAGAACGATCTAACGAACATGTGTTGTAGGTAGAATTCTGCAAGCTCGTTTTACAGTAGTGATCATTGGTGGATGACAAGGTCGGTAAAGAACAATAATATTGCTATAAGAAACTAAATTATCGTAATGGATAGAATAATAAAGGAGAAACAAGCTTACATATCAATTAGCAGATGACAGGATGTGGGAGTTGACCATCATCTACCAAAAGTACCTATTATAAAAATAAAAATAATAAATAATAAATAAATTAAGAGTGAATAGATGGATGGAGGAGAAAATTAAGAAAGAGGTAAAGCTGACTATTGAAGAAACAAAGATTTTATCTAGTATTAATTAACCAAGATATGCGGGAAAAAAATTGCATTGACAATAAATGGAAATATTAATTCCAAGAGCTAAAAATTTTTATAAATTCATGAAAAGCAATGTCAAGAAAGTACATAAAAAAAAAAAAATTTATCATTGAAAATCAAAACTAGAGCAGGCAAGTTTATGGAAAAATTTTAAAAAATCATCCGGCCATTAAAAATCAGAATAACTCATTCTACAAGAAAAAAAAATCCATTTAAAATTTAATAAATTTATTGTCGATATTCATTGCACTGACCAATTTAGAGACTTTATATAACGAATTGATATTTTAAAGCTAGAGGGTGATTAATATAATTGAATTACTTTTAATTAGATTATGGAAGTTATCAAAGTAATTAGTTACTACCATTAATAGAATTTAACACTTATTCTTTCTATCTATGTAACAAAGCTTTTCAATTCCTTAATCATATATTCAAGATCACATTCTAACACAAAAGCAACAAATAAATTTACATATTGACCAATCTATATGTTTTTTTTTTAGGAAAAAATATATGGTCACGTTGTTATTACTTAATGAAAAAACAAGAAATTTTAGAAACACCAATGAAATTAGACGCTCATAAAACAAGAAAAAAAAATCATTAAAAAAAAATATGGTCATGTTATCAATATTACTTCTTAGTGTATAAGAACCTTTAAAAAACACACATCTATTATGTGAAATTAGAAGCATTGTTTTTCACAGGTTAAAAAACAAGTTTATACAATACCATTTTAAATTAAGTAGTAAAATACAATAGGGGTGTGTTACCTTTATTTTGTACTTGAGGCATTTTGATTCTTTGATGTGACAATCGCTTCACCCATGCTGCATAAGATGTTTGATCATCTGGATCGTATGTACCATCATATTGGAGAATTGGTACATGCTTCACTTTCCAGTAGTCTTCTCCTTCTTCACCTGACAACCTTTGAGTGAACTCTTTTGACATCCCAACAAAACATAGCTTTTCGAGTTGTTTCAGATGTTGGATTCCAAAAGGTACCTCCTTCAATTGTGGACAAGGTCCTATATAGAACGTTTTAAGAAGAGGCAGTGCTCCTTTGTCTATCGTCATCATTTTCAATTCATTCAACCATGTAAGATGTAGTATCATGAGTTTCTGAAACCCTCCTTCTTCAAAATGCATCTTCTCTTCATTGTATCCAGAAACCAGGATAAGAAATTTTAAATTAGGCAAAGCTTGGAGGACTTTTATCGAATCATCTCTCAATCTTGAATTCCACAAACCTAATTTAACCACATTTTGCTGTTTGGAAATCCAATTAGGGAACCTTTCTAACCGTCCCCGAAGTGAGAGAGTTTGAAGTTGAGCAGGAGGAGAAGACATAGATTGCACTTCAAGAATGTCATTCGTATTTAGCTGTACGTGTAGTGACTGCAGTTGAGTCATCCTCTCTAATACAGTGCATAGATCCCTTACATATTCTTTTTTTATTGTAATTACCAATCTTCTCAACTGTTTCAACATTCCTAACTCAGTAATTAATCTCAGACCTTGATCATCATCTAGTCTAATTCCAAATAGCGTTTGTAAGAACTCTAGATGCCCAATGCTGCCATGTATCTTCAATGCAGGACAACCCCAAAGATATTGCAATTTGCAAAATCTGTTAATCTCAACTGGCAATTCTTTCACTAAAGAATGTCTCACATCTAAGAACTCTAAGTTCTGTAGCTTTCCAATTGATTTTGGAAGTTTTGACACTTTGGTATTTCTTAAGTTGAAATACTTCAGATGCAGCAAATTTCCCAATTCTTTGGGAATGTAGTTTATTGGACACCTTTCAAAATCTAATGACGTCAACATCTTGCATTTTTTAAATATCGCATCAATTATGGGCTTTTGCGACTCTACTCTACTGAACACCATAAGAGAGCGCGTTTGAGACTTGACCCTAATCTTCGGATTGTCACCTTCACTGTCAATTATAGAAAGGTGTCGAGCTATACCTTGAAGGGTCGAGCAATCAGTTGAAATATGACAGAAACTCAATTCCTCTGAGTTGGAAAGAATGACCTCACGTACCATATCATGAACACAAACCTTCTTGAGACTTCCTTTTAAATTAAATTTATCTGCTTGGACCAAATTTCGATGAACAAGTTCAGTCAAGTATTCTTCTGCCACCTCTTCTGATTTTCTGCCTCTTTTTTCTTGTACAAACCCCTCCGCCATCCATAACCGAATTAGTCTTTTACGTTGAATGGAGAAATCCTCCGGAAACATGCCAAAGTATAAGAAACAACGTTTGAGATGGTGAGGTAGATCACCATAACTGAGAGAGAGAATTTTTGTGATATTCACAAGATGTGGATCACTCGTCAATGCAGAACCAAGGCTATCTAGCAATGTTTTCCATTCTAGGACCACCTTTTCTTTGGTTGCTAAAAGTCCACCAACGGCCACAATTGCCAGTGGCAGTCCTCCACATCTTCGAACAATGTTGTGTGACAATTCTTCCAAATCTTTTGGACATTTCCCTTCCAACTCAAACTTGAATGCCTTCTTGCAAAACAGTTCCCACGACTCCTTCTTAGGCAGAGGTTTCATCTGATGGACCTGAACCAATGAAGATCTCCTGCAAAAAGTAGCAACATCCTCATTTCTTGTTGTGATCAATATTCTACTCCCATTATCGTTATCTAACAAGGCATGCTCAACATCTCCCCAAAAGCAAACTTCCCATACATCATCAAATACAACTAAATATCGTTCTAGTTGTAAATATTCTCTAAGCTTGTTAATTAATTCTGAATCATCCATCGTGGCAATGCTTTGAGGAAAGACTTCCTTTTTTCCTTGATAGAACTTGTTAAGTAAACTCCTTAGTAGCTCCTTCCTATCATATTCTTGAGGCACGGTGATCCAAACACGGCATCGAAAGTGACCTTTCACCTGGTGGTTGTCATATACTTTCCTTGCAATGGTGGTTTTGCCAACTCCCCCAACCCCAACCACTGATATCACTCTCCTGTGAGATTCTCCACTTACCAAGTGCCTTATCAATTCATCTCTCGAAGATTCAGCGCCGACAAGCTCTGCTTCTTCAATGGAAAGAGAGCATAGTCGGGGATCATGCAATATAATGTTTCTTGCATGGCCACTTGATGCTCCTTGCTCTGAAGAAATGAACTGGAATGCTCCAATTCTCTCCTTGATATTTTGAAGACCTTTCCTAACATCTTGAATCTTTGATGCTATCTCATGGCGTGGCTTCCATTTCGTAACTAAGGAAGACATCCTATGTAAAAAGCCCACAAATCCACGTCGATCACGATGTTGTGCCATGTGAAGTATGTATACATCAACGACATCTTCAATTTGATAAGCTACTTCCCTTGCTTGCTTTACCCATATTTGAACACTGTTGCTGACACCTTCTTTCTCTGCCCTAGAATCTGCATCTTTTAAGAAAGCTCTGATGGCTTCCAGATCGTCTTTGATTTCTTCAACTTCTTTATGGACACCTTTCAGTAGATCCACCTCTTGAGTTAGCAATGGAACCAACTTATCAATAACAAGACTCACTGCTGACTCTGCCATCTTTTCTACTCTTGTTTTCTTATTCCAAAATTTGATCTACTTTCGTGATAGCATCCTATAAGCACAAATTTTGAAGTTAGGCTATTTGAACTAGTTAGCTTGTATATATCATTATCAGGTTTGCAGAACAAATACGTACATACTGCATTTACGTAAAGAGACCACAGAAAGAATTAATTAAGTACCTTGCTTTTTATGTAGAAGAGATAATTTGTTGAGGAAGTTATGGATTTGCTTCAAGCTGGAGGAAGGAAACCATCTGATTGACCACAGACAGTATTAAGTGCTTTCTGCAGCAACTGATCCTCTCTATGGTATTTAATTTGGTGCTCTCTCTCTCTGCAAAGACAATACTGTAGTTAAAGGTTGATTTGTCTACTTTATGTTATGCTTTCTCTTTTCTTCAGAATATTAATGATGCAGAAAGATAAATTTAAATTACAGACACAGTCATAGTAATAGTTAGGATTGCAATTGCGAATCTCAACTTATCAGGTTGCAGACGTTATTGTCATAAATGCATAGCAATTTTTAAGAAAATAATAAAAATTCAAAAGTTATTAATAATTTTATCAAATAAACATAATAATAAGACTTTTAATATCATATAAATTAAACAATTGTAGAATGCATTATAATTTAAAGTTACGTGTTGCAAATATCAAGCAAAGTATATTAAAGTAAAAACTTTAACAGTTAAATTAAAAATGACAAGATATATGCCAAACATAAATATTCAAAAAAAAGAAATAGTTTGAGTTGAAAGTGACTTCAATTTGTCATAAGCAAGGGTGTATCTTTCCCAAGCAAATAATTCACTTTTTGTATTTGATTTTGAAAAAAAATCAAAAGAAAGTTAGCTTGACTGAGAAAAAGATTGAGTGATAAGAGAAAAATGAGTCTTTTGAGAGACAGGAAAAGAGAAGCTTAATTGAACATATATGAGCAGTAGTGTATACCATTAGTGCATTAATATAAGTTGCAATTGCTTCTTTTGTGTTGCGTGGAATTTTGAAAAGAAAAAAAGTTACATAAGCACTCAAAACTCTCTCTCTCTCTCTATATATATATAGTGCAACAATATGTTTTCCCCTTTTGGTTATGCCATCAATCCTGCTAAAGTATGATATAAAATAATATAAATTATATTTTAAAAATTCATTCAATAACCTAAATTTTTAGGTTGAATTTTTTTTTTTTTTTTTAACATGATGATATCAAAATCTTACTAACTTAATGGTTAAGAGTTCGAATCCTATTACTTTTTCTTAATTAATTAAAAAATAAAACATAAGGTAGTGATGAATTTATGTAAGTTTCAAACTCAAATTACTTTCACTTAAAGATATGAATTAGAGAATAATATAAATTATATTTTGAAACTTACTTAACAGCTTAATTAAGTCTCGTGTGACTTCGAGAACCAAAATAGAAAAAAATAAAAAAAATGAGGTAGCAAATCGTTAGAAATTGAAGGTTTGGACACCAAGATAGAAAAAGAATCAAAAGTTGGATACCAAAAAAGTCATTCTCTCTAAAATATATTTAAAATTAAAATTAAAAATAAATTTTGATATTTAATACTACAAAATACATATTAAATTAAAAAATTCCTCAATTAATGTTGATTAATAATAATATTATTATGTTGCTCGCCTAAATTTTTAGAATTATTTCAATTTTTAAAGCAATTAATTTTATGAGGTTACCTGCAGTAATGTGTAGGCCACTAGACTAGTTGCAACTAAATATATAAACTCTCACAAATCTTTCATATCTCCAATTTAGTGTGAATGGTTTTGTAAGGCACAAACACAGACACACTCACCGACCATCGATTAAATTCTCTATGAGCTATGATAATATACAAATGGAATTTTTTGCATGATCTATGAAGTTGCTGGATGTTGAAATTACCTTTCCTTTTCGATCACAGAAGAAAAAGAGTTTGATGTTGTGAATTCTTCTATAAAAGTTCCTCTAGCTTTTCAACATTCCATTGACGTTTTGTTTCTCTGCAATTCATCTTTGATATCACCAATAAATCTAGAATATCATACTTAATCAACCTTCTTTATGGCTGAAATTGAAAAGATTATTAGAAAGCAAAATCTATTACTAATTTACTGCTACAATGGACATAATATAGTATTGTTGTATCCTAGATCTTCTCCTCTAAATAATTATTTTTGTATTTTACATGTATAAAGCAGCAATGCCCAATTAATATTGGCTAATTGTAAAATATTTAATGAAATCTCCTTGTTATGATAGACAACAAATAAACAAGCAATAATAATGGTAGAAAACCACTTATACGTGGCCTTTCGTTTACGATAAATCATGCATGTAAATGATACATAGAGAGAGAATTTTCAAAGCAATCTACAAGATATTTAAAATAAAAAAATAGATAATCGAAGTTCTTCTTTATGGTTTTTTTTTTTTTTTTTTTTTTTTTTTTTTGTGTGGGGTGGGGGGCTTGGATTGTAAGATAATCATCAATTCTTTTATTCTGCTTGTGTAATTTGCGATAAGTTTTTTTTAAATTATGATCTTAAAAACAAGATTTAGTTTGTGGGAACTCAATTGGAGATATAATCAAATTCAAGAACAATATTATTATGCATTTATACTTTAAATTTCTCAATTTGAAGCAACCTACAGAAATAATGGGTTTAACGAATCATGCACCAATAACAGGAATACTAACATAATTGAAAGACAATTTATTTCATACTATGTTCTTTGAAAAACAAAGACTAATAGTAGAAGTTAGAACAAGTACTTACAATGGTTGCTTCAAACAAGATCAGATATAGTTGCTTTGAATCCTCCACCAACTTTTGTTCAAGATCAGAGCAATTTGGATAATGCTATGGTGTTTCTCTAGTTTTCTTTGAAGGTGATTGAATTGTATAAATTTGAAGTAGAGATGAAATTAAATGTTGATGAATTTTTGTTGTATCCTTGGGAAACTGTATTAGCACAAAACTTGATAACCTTATTTCCTTTTCCCTGCAGACTTACATGAAGGATACCTTCCTTGGTCGAATTGTCAACCTTTTGTCGGTGACAGTTTCTTAGAGACCAACATTTGCACTTTATTCCATATAGATAAAGTAAGAATCATGCTTTCTAGCTATTGTGAAAAATCTCTGACACGACTCTTGTAAGAATTGATACTTGCAAGTGCTGTTCCAGAGACTGTGTTAATCTCTTGTGATACTATCGTAGCCAAAACCAACCTTATAAGTATAATATTTTATCCATCATGAGCAGAGGTAGGTTAGGCCCAAATAGAGATGGTAGAAGCAAGCAACAGAGAGCTGTTGCTACTCTTTCGTTGTAGTTCTCTAATGCTGAAATGTTAAAAGTGGAATTTTAGAAGACAATTGACAATTGAGCTGTAGAAGAGTTTTTCTGATATCTTGAATTTCTGATGCTATTTACTGTCATGATTGCAATTGCATAAACAAGAGGTAGAGAATGTATCCAATCAGGCCACAAATCCAGGTCGATCACGATGTTTTCCCATTTGAAGCATGTATTTGTCAATGACATCTTGCTTCACAACGACGACTGCTGGACTGAAAATTAACTCATTAGAGGCTATTTCTGTAAAAAATTAATCATCGAGGTCAGCATTATTTGCTGGTCAGGATGCCATCGGGATCTTCCAGCTTCAGCGGCAAGAGTCGGCAGCGTTAGAGTGATTTTAATTCGCGATCGATCTAAAGTTCTTACCCCGCGGAAATCACATCCTGCTATGCTTCAGAGGCCGAGTCATCCATATTGATTGATTTATGGCTGAATGGTGATCATACCCTCGCCGGTGTTTAGTAATCTCCGATGAACCATGGTCAAATAGCGGTTACAACTTTTGAGCAGGACACGTCAAACACGAGTCCTATGGTTAATGCTCCTTGTACAGGGGCTAGGGAATCTACCAAACGGTGCCGTTTCCTCTAACTTCACTAATAACGTGGCTGTTGGTGACTTGTTGAATAATAAAGATTGGAAATTCCTTGATTTGGCTTGGTATTTTTTTTTAATTATTATTATTATTATTATCTCTATTTATTGGAGGTCTAATGAGTTATATACAACGGGAGTAGCATTTTTCATTACATAATTACGAAAGAAATTAAAATTATCAGGATTCTAATCTTATTTCGCTAGGAAGCTAGCTAGGTATACAACCGTCAGGTTAAATTAATATCTCTCTTTAACTCAGGTTCTGGCTCATCAAATCAAATGGGATTTATTGAACCATAAGGAGTGGCTATATTTAACGTTCCACCAAAAGTTGCATAGAATGGAGCAGTGAAATGGTCTAATTGTCTTGGTGGACAGTTTCTGGGTAAATCTCCAAAAGAAGGGTTCGTTTCTACCATGGCTAACAAGTTATGGGGGAGAGATGGTACGATTACCGTTGTCAACGATCAAGGTCTTTTTCTGTCTCGCTTTCCTGATGAAAGAACAATGAAGTGGGTCTTAGAGGGAGGTCCATGGCATTTTAGCAATGTTCCTCTGCTTTTGCGAAAATGGAAGGCAGACTTGAAGATGCTTGAATTTTGAAAATGGAAGGGAGAGTTTCAATCCAATAAGTAGAGGGAGAATCTAAATGAGCCCACCCAAACCAAACAGAATCCCATAACCCAAATCAGCCTATATCCTTCCAAGCCCAACGTTTCTCCCCAAGGCCTAATGGTAACCCAAGTAGGCGTGAAAGATTTTCTAGGAAGTAGCTAGCCAGAACACCAAAATCCTCAACTGCAAAATCCTCAACTGCTTTTTTTACTTCATTTCACACTCAGTACATATTGCACACATTAGTGCTTGCTGGAAAACTCAATCTAGCGATCTTTTACTATTGCAATTTGATTCAAACGCAATTTATTGACTTCATTTCACACTCAGTACATATTGTACATCTAGTACAGACTCATTGTTGCCTTAGCTTCGCCAAAACTAATTCAAGTTTATGTCTAGCGGCAGCAGCAACAGCTACACCATTGGCGTAATAGTTAATAGCATCAAGGAAAGATACATAAGTTGCTTGATGAACAATTATTACAGAGAGATTCAATCAAAACAAAGCGAAACCAATACAAACAACAACAACAGGAACGCTGACAACAAGTTCCACTACATAAAAAAACCACAACAGTACAATCACACACACACATATATGACTACTGGATAGAGAAGAATGAGCCAACCCTCGTATACCACGGTGATATCCAGAGTAATCACCACTTCATCACTTCATGCAATGAAGAGGGAGACTGGATAGAGAAGAATGAGCCAACCCTCGTATACCACGGTGATATCCAGAGTAATCACCACTTCCGATGATGAAACATCCTATGGAATGGAAAAGCTGTGAAGATAAATATTTGACTGAATCAAAATGCGGCAAAGACTGGTTGAAATTACAGCTACACAGAGAACAGGAATAATATTCAAGAGCTAAAGAATTTAAAATTTTGTGGTTCGGTTATCTAATCAATACTCCCTACTACAAAACACCATTTACGGAAATTCATCGAAAATATTTTTTTTTCAGTAACAGTGAACTAAAAATAAAAATTGGAGTAGCGTAGTAAAAATTGAATAATAACACCATTTACGGAAAGTTTGCATGAAAAATTTAAAAACACATGCTGATGAAATTATATACCATTTTAAATCGAGTAGAGTAGTAAACTAAAACAGGGGTATTGTACCTGCAATTTTATAAATCTGTAGGCATTTTGGTTATTCAGCCAACCCATAGTATCTGTTCACTGCTGCTCCATATGATCCTTCACCGTCGAGTTCGTATGTAGAGCCATGTCGGAGAAATGGCACATGCTTCACTATCCAGTAGTCTTCCCCATCATTACATGACAACCTTTGATTGAACTCTTTTGACATCCCACCAAAACATAGTCGTTTGAGGTGTTTCAAGTGCTGAATTCCAGACGGCACCTCCTTCAACTGTGGGCATGATTCCATGTACAGCCTTTCAAGAAAAGGCATCGCTCCTTCATCTATTATTACTGTAGTCAAATTATTCAAGGCTACAGTACTTAGCACCTTGAGCTTTTGAAACCTTCCTTCGTTAAATTGCAGCTTCTCTCCATTGTATCCACAAACTAGCAGAAGTATTTTTAAATTAGGCAGATCTTGGAGGACTTCAATCGGATCATCCATCAATCTCGAATAACACAATCTCAATTTAGATAGATCGTGTAATTTGGAAATCCAATCTGGCATTCTTTCTAATTGTCCCCAAAGCGTGAGAGATTGAAGGTTGAGAGAAGAAGGAGATAGTGATTGCACATCAACAATGTCACTCTCGTAATTGATTGAACTTACATATAATGTTTGCAGGAAACTCATTTTCTCTAATGCAGTGCATAGATCCCTTCCGTTTTCTCTTTCCAAATCATATATCCCCAATTTCCTCAACTGCTTCAGCATTCCTAGCTCATTAATTAATCTCAAATCATCTTTATCTCTAATTCTAATTCTAAACAGAATTTGTAAGAACTGTAAATGCTTAATGCTACCACGTATCTTCAACCCCAAACCCTTTTTAGAAGAACCATAAAGATATCGCAATTTAGGAAATCTATTAATGTCAACTAGCAACTCTTCCACTAGAGAATAACTCAAATCTAAGTACTCTAGATTTTGCAGCTTTCCAATTGATTTTGGAATTTTTGACACTTCAGTATTTCTTAAGTTGAAATACTTCAGATGCAGCAAATTTCCCAATTCTTTGGGAATGTGATCAATTGGACAGTCTTCAAAATCTAATGTGGTCAAAAGTTTGCATTTTCCAAATATCGTATCAATTATGGCCTTTTGGAGCTCCTGTCCGTTGAAAACCATAATAGACCGTGTCTGAGACTTGGTGCTGCTCTTCGGATTGACATTTTCTCTGTTGCTTAGAGAAATGTGTCTACCTCTGCCTTCAAATGTGGAGCAATTACCTGAAACACGGCACAAACTCAATTCTTCTTCCTTAGAAAGAATGACCTCACGTACCAAATCGTGAACTCGACAGAGTTTGTCAATTCCTATCTTGCTAACTTCATCCACTAGAACCAAACTTCGATCAGTAAGTTCAGTTAAGTATTCCTCTGCAACCTCTTCTAATGTCATGCCTTGTTTTTCTTGTACAAAACCATCAGCTATCCATAATCGCAGTAACCTTCCGCGTCTAATTGAGAAATGCACCGGAAACATGCCAAAGTATAAGAAACAAAATTTGAGGTGGTGAGGTAGATCACTATAACTGAGAGAGAGAATTTTTGTGATATTCACAAGATGTGGGTTACTCGTCAATGCAGAACCAAGGCTATCCAGCAATTTTTTCCATTCTAGAACCACCTTTTCTTTGGTTGCTAGAAGTCCACCAACAGCCACAATTGCCAGTGGCAGTCCTCCACATCTTCGAACAATGTTGAGTGACAATTCTTCCAACTCTTCCGGACATGTCCCTTCAAAATCAAACTTGAATGCCTTCTTGCAAAACAGATTCCATGACTCCTGTTGAGGCAGAGGTTCCATCTGATGGACATGAACCAATGAAGAACTCCTGCAAAAGGTAGCAACATCCTTATTTCTTGTTGTGATCAATATTCTACTCCCATTATCGTTAAATAACAGGGCGTGCTCCACAGCTCCCCAAAAGCCAACATCCCATACATCATCAAATACAACTAAATACCGTTTTGGCTGTAAATATTCTCCAAGCTTACAAATTAATGATGAATCATCCATCGTGGCAATGCTTTGAGGAAGGACTTCCTCTTCTCCTTGATAGAACTTGTTTAGTAAACTCCTTAGTAGCTCCTTTCTATCATAATCTCGAGTCACGGTGATCCAAGCACGGCATCGAAAGTGACCTTCCACCTGATGATTGTCATATACTTTCCTTGCAATAGTGGTTTTGCCAACTCCCCCAACTCCAACCACTGATATCACACTCCTGTGAGATTCTCCACTTACCAAGTGCCTTATCAATTCATCTCTCGAAGATTCAGTGCCGACAAGCTCTGCTTCTTCAATGGAAAGAGAACATAGTCGGGGGTCATGCAATATAATGTTTCTTGCATGGTCACTTGATACTCCTTGCTCTGAAGAAATGAACTGGAATGCTCCACTTCTCTCCTTGATATTTTGAAGACCTTTCCTAACATCCTGAATCTTTGATGCTATCTCGTGGCGTGGCTTCCATTTCGTAACTAAGGAAGACATCCTATGTAAAAAGCCCTCAAATCCACGTCGATCACGATGACGTGCCATGTGAAGTATGTATTCATCAACGACATCTTCAATTTGATAAGCTACTTCCCTTGCTTGCTTTACCCATACTTGAACACTGTTGCTGACACCTTCTTTCTCTGCCTTTGAATCTGCATCTTTTAAGAAAGCTCTGATGGCTTCCAGATCGTCTTTGATTTCTTCAACTTCTTTATGGACACCTTTCAATAGATCCACCTCTTGAGTTAGCAATGGAACCAACTTGTTAATAACAAGACTAATTGCTGACTCTGCCATCTTTTCTTTTCTTATTCCACAATTTGATCTACTTTCGTGATAGCATCCTATAAGCACAAATTTTGAAGTTAGGCTACTTGAACTAGTTAGCTTGTATATATCATTATCAGGTTTGCAGAACAACTACGTACTGCATTTACGTCAAGAGACCACAGAAAGAACTTTCCCTAGTTAAAATATCATTCTAGCTAGGTCGGTTATGTTGAGGGTTTTCATTGAAGCATAATAATAATAGGGATACAAATTCTTAAAGCATAATTAATCTCTCTGCTCCAATTCGCGTGGATGTTTAGCATAATTAAGCTAATAAACAAATGAGATATTTGTGCATAAACCACCAAGTTGATGGGTGTAGAAAATGTGGGAATTACCTTCTGCATGCACATAAAACTTTTGGCTTTTTTTTTTTTTTTTTTTGAATTTTGAAGTTGCATAATATGATGTGGAATAATTCAATTCCTTTTTTTATTAACAAACTCAGAATAAGATCTAAGCCGAAAAAGTTGGTAATTTTGTATCTAAAAGAAAAATCATTACTTTGATCCAAAATATGTGGAAGAAACCACAAACCTCAAATCTTCCACCCAAGTATAGGCTTCTAGCTAGCTGCTAGACTTCTAGTTGGACAAGGAGCATGCACTCACTCTATGATCAGATCGATTTCTGTAGATTGACACAAGTAAGGGAAAAACAAAAAATAAAGTTAGAACTGTTCCCCACGCATTATGCATTCCAAATTGAATAATATTTGTGCATAAGGTTTCTCTATGTGGAAATTAATTAAGTACCTTGCTTTTTATGTAGAAGAGATGATTTATTGAGGAAGTTATGGATTTGCTTCAAGCTGGACGAAGGAAACCATCTCATTGACCACAGACAATAGTAAGTGCTTTCTGCAGCAATTGATCCTCTCTATGATATTTTGGTGCTCTATCTCTCTCTACAAGGACAATACTGCACTTAAAGGTGGATTTGTCTACTTTATTTTATGCTCTCTTTTCTTCAGAATATTAATGATGCAGATAGATAAATTTAAATTACAGATGCTGCCATAAAATAGCTAGGATTGCAACTGCGAATCTCAACTTGTCATGAATATAAAATAATGGTTTCAGACATTATTGTCATAAAATGCATATTAAATTTTAATAAAATAATAAAAATTCAAAAGTTATTAATAATTTTATCAAATAAACATAATAATAAGACTTTTAATAATTTAATATCATATAAATTAAAAAATTGTAGAATGCATTATGATTTAAAGGTACGTGTTACAAATATCAAACAAAGTATATTAAAGTAAAAACTTTAACAGTTAAATTAAAAATGACAAGATCTTTGCCAAACATAAATATTCAAAGAAAGAAATAGTTTGAGTTGAAAATGAATTCAATTTGTCATAAACAAGGGTGTATCTTTCCCTAGCAAATAATTCACTTTTTGTAATTTAATTTTGAAAAATAATCAAAAGAAAGTTAGCTTGACTGAGAAAAAGGTTGAGTGATAACAGAAAGATGAGTCTTTAGAGACAAGAAAAGAGAAGGTTAATTGAACAAGAGCAATAATTATAGAGTAGATAGTTGAGATTGAATTTTATCAAAAAGACTTAAATCTTGTGATTGTGGCTCATTTTCAATCTTATATATTAATTATTTTTAATTTAATTATTCAATATGAGATATGTGCTCTAATAGTAATGTACCATTAGTGCATAAGCACTCAAAACTATCAAAGCTTTCTCTTCTTCTTCTTCTTCTTCTTCTTCTTCTTTTTGGTTCTATACATATATATACATATATAGTGCATCAATATGTAGTCCCCTTTTGGTTTATCTTCGGCCATGTCATCAATTATCTTAAAGTGTGCTATATAATAATATAAATTATATTTTTAGACTTCATCCAATAACTTAAGTTTTTATATTGAAATATTTTTTTAATATGATATCAAAACCTTACTAACTTAATGGTTAATAATTCAAATCCTACAACTCTCACTTTTTCTTATAATTAGTTATTGAATTAAGCATAAGTTAGTAATGCATTTATGTAAGTTTCCGAGTTAAAAGACTTAGACTTAAGGAGTTGTGCTAGAGAATAATATAAATCATATTTTGAAACTCTACCTAACAGCTTAATTGGGTCTCGAGTGACTTTAGGTACCAAAATAGAAAGAATAAAAAATTAGGTAGCAAATCACTAGAAATTGAAGGTTAGATACCAAAGCAGAAAAACAATCAAAAGTTGGATACCAAAAAATCCATTCTATCTAAAATATATTTAAACTTAAAAATAAAAATACAATTGATATTTAATACTACAAAATACATATTAAATTACAAAATTCCTTAATTAATGTTGATTAGTTATTATGTTGCTCACCTAAATTTTTTGAATTATTTAAATTTTAAAGCAATTAATTTTATGAGGTTACCTGCAGTAATGTGTGGGCCACTAGACTAGTTGCAACTAACAGAAACTCATACTAATCTTTCATATCTCCAATTTAGTGTGAATGATTTTATAGGACACAAACACAGACACACTTACCGACCATTGATTAAATTCTCTATCAGCTATGATAATAGACAAATGGAATTTTTTGCATGATCTATCAAGTTGCTGGATGCTGAAATTACCTTTAATTCCTTTCCGATCACAAAAGAAAAAGAGTTTGATGCTGTGAATTCTTCTATAAATGTTCCTTTAGCTTTTCAACATTCCATTGACTTTTTGTTGCTCCACAATCCATCTTTGATATCACCAGCACATTTAGAATATTACTAATTAGATACCCACACTATACCGTAATAAAACAACAGTTGTATACATAAAATTAACGATTCATATGATGTAGCGTGAGTAAAAATTTTATTCCCGATGATTAATGTAAATCGAATTTATATATTGAGCGAAATCATTTGATTTATATATTTATTAACCAAATATTTAATAACAATAGCATAGCAATTTGTAGTTAAATAATTAGGAGGCTCTTTTAAAACATTATCTAACTTATTTTATTTAAAAAAACAAATTTTAAAATATGAAAAAGTAAATAACAAATAACGGTATTATGTGTGCGGATATATAGTTAATTTCTAAAAAACATTAATAATACACACACACATGCGCACACACACATATATATATCATACGTAACAAATTCAGAATATATAAAATAAATAAAAATTTATAATAAAAAAACCACCTAAACTCGTATGAAATATATTAAAGTCAACAAATTAAAATAAAAACTCGCAATAAAATTGGTTCCGATAAATTCTAAATAGATATATTTATAAAAAATAAAAATTGTGAATTCTTTTAACTCGATTATTAATTTTTTTAAAAAAAATGAGTCAAAGTATCTAAAACATACTTTTATCTCTCTCTCTCTCTCTCTCTCTCTCTCTCTCTCTCCCCATATATATATATTAAAAATTAAAAACTCATTTAAAAAGCAAAAAAATAATTTATTGTATAAATTATAATAATATATTTTAATAAAATAAAACACTAACGTTCAAAAAGTTTATTTCAAAATTCATTTATTAAAAAACTAAATTTATTAACAAATAAAATTATATTAAAAAATTAATTTGATGAGAATTTTAATAAGAAATAAATAATTAAAAAATAAATTTTAACCATAAGAGTAATATAATCAAATATATATATTATATCATCTTTAAACCGTACGCAAAACTAAGGAAATAATGATTTATTTTTTATATTTTTCAAACCTCATTCCATTATATATATATATATGTTAGGAAGGAAAAAAGAAAAAAAAGGGACAAATGCTTGGTTGGCTTGTGCAACCAGATTGCATGTATATAGAAAGAAAGAAAAAAAAAAAAAAGGCCATGCTTGATTGGCTTGTGTAGCTAGGCTTTTGATTGTAGGCCCACGAGCAGTGCTTTGGTTGCTCTTCAACCCAAAAAATTAAAAATTAAAAACACCTATAACTTTCAGCAAATCCGAGGTCGTCGGTAGCTTCATCAAAAATCGAGTGTCAAGTTTCAAACACTTAGAAATTAAATTTTAATATCATTTTTTTCCAAACACTAAATTATCGAATAAAGTCAATAAATTCATCTAAAACCTTAGCAATATGCACCGGAAAAAAAATACACAATCAAATCCAAACTTTTTTTTTCTTTTTTGGCTCCAATCTACCTCCTCTAATTGTTTAATGGCTTGAAACCATCATGGACGGACTCATATCTCAAAGATAAAAAAATCTAATGGACTATACGCTTTGCCCTCGATGTGAGGGGTGATCCTAGTTTGGGTTATTATAAAGAAAATCATCGAGCTCAAATGAGGACGACGAAAGATAAAATTCATGTGAGACTTATGTAAGATGACCTTTTCTCATCTCAAAGATCGATTCACCTATGTCGTTACACACTAATCTCTTTTGAAAAACAATGATTAATTTAGAGAAAAATGATGAATGCTATCATGAGTAGAACATAAATTGTTCATCACTATTCAAGGGACCAATCATTGAGTCTTTCCTTTAGGCTTCATTATGTTTTCTTGGGCTACACTTTTCCTTCAAATGTTAAGTTTGAGAAAGGATAAAGAATTTCTTTTTTTTTCTTAACAAAATGGAGGATTTCGCTCATTACTTCTTGCTCGTAAAGGCTATTAGGAGGATATATCATTGGCTTTGAAGAAATTATCTCTAGCATATATCCGTCATGTTTTGAAATTTGATCAATTTTTACAAAAATTTCTTTGAATGAATTTACCATTATGCTTCCTTAATGGAGGAAGATGCTAATGCCAAGTAATACTTTCAAATGAACATCTCTTGATTTCAAATCGGATAATATCAAATTACAAAAGAAAACTTAAGTATTCTTTCATTCAAATATACGTCTTAACTCATGTATAACTAAAATATTCAAAACCTAGTTTTCAAAGTCCGACAAAATTAAAAGACGACATTTGCGGATCGATGAGCATGCATCATCACCATATCTT